CAAAAGTAGTTGTCCTGTCCTGTCAGATATCACGAACCTACTCGGTATACCACACGTGGTCAGCTTTCGCAGCTGTCACACCATGGCTGTGGTTGGTAAATCGCCTGAATCAGCCTTACCTGATCAGGCGTTTTTCAATGCCACGTCAACACGCTTGAAGCAGCCGTAAAAAGCTCATCGCCAGCACAATCCGGCCTTCTCGAGAGCCGCTACGTCTCTCCAGACGGCTCGTCACCACTTCAGTGGACGTGTCGGTGCCGGCCGGCCTCGGGGACCGTTGGAGGACGTGTCCGGCCGAGGCGACCCCCGCAGCGTCACCGCCCAGCCCCGCCGCCCGCCCTGCACCGCCCCGCATCAATTATTCGATTCGTGGCTGTGGGAACCACTTGAGCCGCTCCATATATCGACGTGACAGTGGGGCATGCGCGAACACAGCCATCACGGAGCCAGTTGGTGTTCACTGTTCAGCCGCGGCACGCCCGTGACAGGCGTCCGCCCGTCCGTCTGTCAGGCAGACAAACAGACAGACGGACAGACAGCGGCCGCCTCATACGTGGAGTGAGCCTGGCCTGCAGTCGGCTGGCAGCAGCGGACCCAGCTGCTCCTGGAAAACTGCAGCTGGAGCTGGCTTGGTGACTCCTGGGGGCTTTCTGGGGCTGACCTGGTGACTGGTGACCCCTGGGGGCTGCCTGGGGCCGGTATGGTGACTCCTGGAGGCTGCCTGGGACTGGCTGATGCTTTATTAGGGGACTGCCTGCGCCCAGCTAGAATTCTCCGGTGTCGGTGCAGGGACTCTCAGCGCTGTTTTTAATAAATTCGGAGGGGAGTTAGGGCATGTGCAAATACGGTCACCTCGGGGACCGATTTCAAAGCAAGAAGATAATGCTAAGAAAAGTTTATGTACTCCATCTGTGCAAACCAGCACCTTTCAAAGGTGAAACATTGAAGCTCCATATGAACGAAAGTCGGTGTGGCCGCTGCCAACCTTGCCATGGTGAGATTCACACGATTCCCTGGCCGAAGGCCAGATTCACTGAAATCGGAAACTTGTTCTGTTTTAGGTGTTTTCTGGCGTTTTCTTAGTGATCCGGCCCAGAAGTAAGGAAGCTGAGATGAGCATCATGGGGAGGGGGACAACCACGCCTTCAGAGAGCCACAAAGTGCCGCTCATGTCATCCATACATACCAGACGGTCACCTGTCCGGTATACGGCGGGGCCCAGCACGAGACGCCTGTGATGTATGCTGCTCCGCATGTCTTGCACGCCGAGCGGTGCAGTATCTCTGCTACTCGGCGGAGCCCCAGCACGAGGCGCCTGTGATGTATGCTGCTCCGCATGTCCTGCACGTCGAGCGGTGCAGCATACCGGCGGCTTACAGAGCAACAGACCAGTCCTTGGCCCCAGCTGAGCAGAGACGACTCTGATTCTACTCGCCCTGATGTGCAGAGCTGATACTGGCTCTGGCTCTGGCTGATGAAGCCGCCCGTCAGTAACTGTGACTTCTAGCACACCAGTGACAGAGAGCTGAGTGGTCGTGTCCGTCCAGCGCCCCGCAACCTGAACCGCCGTGCTGCCGCTACGGCCGCGGTCGAAACTAGGGATCGATCTCGTCGGCCCCATCATCGCCTCTCCCCCAACCGCCCGATTCTCGATCGGAGTGGCGAACTTCTATAGCAAGCGGACGGGCATTGTCCTAACACCTACCGTCGAGTCTGCAGATGTCACCAAGTTCGTCGGCGATGTCTGGGTCCGCGAAGGACAGCAAGACGAGCTGGTATCTGATCTACAGATCGTAAGTTGAGTTTGCAGGGTAGGATCCAGGATTTCGTCCAGGGAGAGGTCACGCTTCATTGTGGTGTTCCTGGAAGCTGGTGCCCCTCCTCACAAAGAAGTCCCGGGATTTCAGCTACTTAATTTTCAAATCCTTATTTTCTAATCGGTAAAATGTCTTCCGCCAGGATGACCTACTGAGCCTAGTCCGCCTTATTTTAAGACGTAAATTTTACTTTATTTTTCATGTTGAAGTTGAAGATTTGCGGCCGTTCGGGGCGCCTTTGAGCCTTGGTCGGTGCTGAAAATAAAGGTTATGTGGACCCGAAATGGGGATTTTCTTGTCCCTTCACCACAAGACTGCAGTGCCGCTTCCATAGTGCCGTTACGCATAGGCGCTGTAACGTCTCCCGGCCTCAGCCGGGAACCACCGGAACCGTGTGCGGTGGTGCCAGTGGACGTGCCCGCGAGAGCTTGTGATGATCGATTACATTCACCGCTAGATCATCGCGTGGTTTGGACCTCTGAGCCGACACTTCGGGTCGCGGATCTGACACCAAGCACCTTTACAAACGATGAAGGACGGCTGGCTGTGTGAGCAGCAAGGTTGAGAAGAAAGGACACCGGAAGATTTTAATAGACTGGGTGCCGATAAGGAGAAGGATTGTGTTAGGCAGTGCCGGGATGGAAGGGATATATATATATATATATATATATATATATATATATATATATATATATATATAATACGGGGTTCAATCAACCTCGGCTCTGACTTGAACTGACTCCACCGCAGCCTCTCGTAACGTAACAAGAGCTGGCGCTCCGAAGGCGAGTTATCTGGTCTGCCACCGACGTCTTCGGAACAGTACAGCTGCCCGGCTGCAGCCGGCCGCCAGCGCCGGACTACGTGCTCACGAAAGCGGGCTGAGGCGGTGTCGCTCGGCCGGACCGCGTGCTCACGAGAGCGGGCCGAGGCGCTCGGCCGGACCGCGTGCTCACGAGAGCGAGCCGAAGCGGCGTCGCTCGGCCGGACCACGTGCTCCCGTGAGTGAGCCGAAGCGGCGTCGCTCGGCCGGACCGCGGCCAGCCTTTCGTCCCGACGCACCCGCCGACGGCACAGAGCACTCGGCCAGCGCTGACGCTAATCCTGACGCATCGCCCTCCTATCTCGCGCCACACACTGAACGGGGCGGCGGTCCGCGTGTTGGCCGGCTGGCCGCAGCGGGCCAGCAGGCCGGCTCGAACCGCGTCCGCCCGGCTACGACAGCTGCGCCAACAGTGCGCCAGCTGCGTCCAACGACAGCTGCGCCCAGCGCCGCGCCAGCTGCGCCCTACACCGCGCTCGTGAAGACATCGCCCGCAGAGATGGGAATAGATAATCAGCGAAAGAAGGAAACAAAGAAAGCAAATGGAAGAGGAAAAATCCGGCGAGGGATGACGGCGCAAGAAGAGGATAATACGAAGAACAATCAGCGAGGAAACAACGTTAGGCCATTTCCATGCATGCATGCATTTAATCTGGCGCTGGCGAATGAGTGTTATCGTGACATGCGGGCCGGGTGGCGCCCATAGCCACCCATCAGTCAGCACCTCAAATGAGGGACACTAGCGAAATATCGACCCTAGCGTTGGGATTTACTCACGTCATAGGTATAGAAATATGTAGGAAAGTGTGCGTGACATATCCAGTTTTCGAGGGTCACACGTTGACGCTGCGTTGATGAATCGTAAGGGGCGGATCCCTACAGGAACCTGAGTCAGCCGACTCTGATGCGTGTGCACGACCCTGGCTCGCGTCAACACATGCCGCACACATTCCACTTCCGTCAACTCCAGAAATGGATACTGCGTAAACAATTTACACTACTCCCATCAACAGACCAGAGACTCGATCCGGATCTCTTTTCGTTATTTGGATTAGAGCCTTTTCAACCAGTACTGATTATCTCAGGGCTATGGGGTGAAAGATATCGGCAATAGTGGAGCAAAACTACATGCGTCTGGGACACTAACTACCGAGTTTGGACGCCACAGGGAGTCTCTGCGAGTTATGCCCTGGGCGCCCGGTCGGGGTTTCCCTCCATGGGCCACTCGGATCACTGGTGGCTGCCGCGCGCAGCCCCGGACAAGCGGAGCGTTGCGAGGATGCAGTATGAGGGAAGAAAGAGGATAAGAGAGTCGGATGACTTGACTCCCTCACTTCCAAGGATTGACATTGCAGGAGAAAACAGAAGTGGTTGACACAAGGTAAGTAGACAGGCACATAAAAATAGTGTGCGGTTGAGAAAGGCTTTGCAATGGGTCATGACCGTGGACGCGCTTTCGGGTAAGAACATGTGAAGGTGAACATGATATCGTCCCAGGCCATCATTAAGTTTTTTGGAGGCATACTTCCTCGGACACGGGCAATCATCAAAGAAGAATAACGCATTTTACATGGCAACCTAACACGCTAACGTATCCAATTAACCGACAAATAAATCGTAGGGGTGTAAAATATAGCCGAATAAATTGCACAGATAAATCACGGGGGAGCGCTGCGCGGCCCGCAGCAGCAGCTTAACGAGAGCTTCCAGCTCGCCGCTTTCATGCTGCCATTTCCGCCAATGTAACGAGAGACGAAGGAATGTGTCTCTGGGCGCTCGCATTTTTGATATGGAGAAAAGTCTTAAGCATGCAAAACAGGACTATACGGCATGAGCATGTGAGCACACGGGCAGCGCACGTTCATACGAGACGGTGTCATTTTCCAGAACGCAGAAATAGTTTCAACGGGACCCAACGTGACGGCTCGAGGGATACTAACGCTCATCCATTTATTGTCGTTGACACGTCGCAATTATTATTGTATTTCGATGGTCCTATTTTTGCTGTCGAGCAAAACAGAGCGATGGACTGTTATAGCCGCGATCGTTGGCTGAACTGATAGACAGAAATGAATGGGCCACCGGTAGGCAGGCAGGTAGGTGGGGTCGGTGAGTTACAGCAGAGAATCATGGAAAAACCTCGAGTCCACCCGGCCCTACCGGGTGGTACATGATACGCTTATCACACAAGCCCTACATTGTCCGTCCGGAATAATGTGGGTTAGCGGGTTCCGGGCATCACCAGGTAAGATACCAATACCGAGGTTCACACACCACCGCCGAGAGACTGCCGAAATCCGCAAGCACGCACACACGCCAACCGGAGCGTGCCCCAGCGGCGCTGGCACGTCACCACTCACCCACGACGCCTCGAGCCGGGTTCGGCGCCGACGCCGGCGCTCACTGCCGTCCGACCCGGGCGAACCAGCCGCCCGCTGACGCGGGTAAACAGAGCCGAGCGCGTGCCGGGCGGTCCGGGGCGGCGCCGCGCTCGTCGCGCGCACGGGCCGCACCCACGACTGCCAGGCGCGGCCGGTCGCGGGCTGGGGCCGGCCGCGCGCCGCCGAGGGGGCCGGAAGCCGCGCCGCGGCCGCCGGCCGCACGACAAACGGACGCGCACCGCGCCACTCCGATGATGAGACGAGCGAGCCGCCGGGGATAGCGCGCGGACTGAGCCGGAGAGGGTTGACAGCGGCGCCGCCGTCGGAGCCAGCGGTGTGATGGGTGGCCTGCGGAAGGAAATGAGCCCGGAGATTGGGCGGCGCCGGTCGGGGCGCCGGGTGAGGTCGGCCGCTCCGGCCGGACGGCCCTCCCCGGCGACGGAGCCGCACCGCTCCCGCTGCTGCTGCCGCTGACGCGTCTAATCGCGCGGAAGGCGGCGCGGGCGCGCCATTTGCACCGCGGCCCGGCTTCATCAGCGACGGCCGTGGCCGTATCGACGGCGCCGCCCACCCGCCAGACGCGCGGCGCGCCGACGGCAAAAACGCCGCGGCGCGCCGCTTTACGCGTCCACCGGCGTGGTCGGGTGCTTCGGCGGCGGCCCGCCTCCAGGCGGCATCGCCGGCCCAGCCGGGTGTGGGTGGGTGCGGCGCCGCGCCGGCGCTCGCGCCTGGGGCTCGGGCACCCACCCCCGTAACGGGCTGTCGTTTATCATGGGCGATGGTCGAGATGGATCTTTTTTCCGGGAAGCAGCCGCATACTCTGTCGTTTTCGTGGGGGAGCGGATTTGTCGGAAGAAAGGGAAGTCTTCTGGCGCTCACATCAAGAGGCGAGTACCATTTGTTTCCCTAAGCTGCACTTACTCAAACAAATAAAGGCTATATATCGACGGTTGTGTTCTTGTGTATTCAGGTATCGCATAAGGCCTTACGCTCCGAGAGCACCACAACGACAAACCGTCTTGTTGGAAGGGCGGATTATTCATAGCGTGACAACAGGTATCACAAATTTCAGGATAGCCTGTCTCACGCTATGGTTGCGCGGCTACCATAGCACCACAAAAGATCAGGATATAGGCAAGAGCATCAAAACAAAAAGCACACATCAATCAAACCCTCGCAGCCAACTGAGTGTTGAGCGTTTACGCAACAGTGCAACCAGGCAATGTCAATGAACAAGACGCCCAGCCTCAGACCGCCAAAGCCTAACTCACGGTTACCTGGGCTCGGTGACTTCATGCCCGCCCCGCCCCACCGCAGCCTGTTGCAAACTGGGCCGGCCCGGCTTGCCGGACACAACAGGCGAACCCGTCAGGTCGACGGCACGGCCCAATAAGGACGCCGCTGAGTGGGTCCGTACACTCCCAGGAGACCACGGCCGGCCCGGTGGAGGGGCGCGAGTCCGGGACCCATGACGCCGGCTAATGGGAGGTCTGAACGACAGACTGGAGGGCAGGCAGACTGGGCACCGCGGCCGTCAGCTGTCCTCGTCCCGGTGCGGCTCAAGCGGCGCCACCCAGGCTCGGCCGGTCTGCAGCAGCGCGTACCCCAACGGAGAGCGGTAGCTGGATGAAGACGTCACTGGCAGTCCCACGCGGTTGTGCAGCAGCTTGTCGACAAAGTCGAACGTACTGGACACGATGTCAAGGACATTTGCGCCGCAGAAACTCCCACGACAGTAGACATTGATACATCGTCCGATCCCAGCGAAACAAAAAGCGCACTGATCTTGTTGTCGATAACCCTTCTTTGGCCTGGCCAGCTGGCTTAATAGTTCCCGGGATATTAGTGAGATAAACAGCTGCATCTACCTACCACATCTACTATACGTGCTGTCGTACCACTGCCCATCCCCACCAGGATTTCCGCTGGGTCCCAATCATCAGCCTTCTCCTCGGATACGCTCGTGTCTGAGCCAATGTCTTTGTCTCGGCGGCTGCACAGGTCGTCGATCGATGTGGCGCCGGCATCGGACGGCGTCGCTCCGGTGACGGCCGCCGTCCTCCTGATGCCAGCCGTCACACTCCGGTCGGCGCGGGCCGGGCCGGGCCGGGCGCCCATCACCGGGCCAGGTCGGGCTCAGACGGCCGCTGAGCCACGCGACCCGGCCGCAGCGAGCCGGCACATGACATATGATACACAGTCTCGTGCACAGAGTCTCGGATGTAACGTCTCGGACAAACAGTTGCGGGCGTATGGTCTCGAAAGTCTTGGAGATGTGGTCTCGGACACCCTGCGTCAAGACGTGCTGCCTTGCATAATACCGTGTAGGTCTACGTCACGACATGCTGCCTAACATAACACCGCGTAGGTCTACGTCAAGACATGCTGCCTAACATAATACCGTATGGGTCTGCGCCAAGACATGCCGGCCGTGGGTTCGGTTACCGAACACTACAGAACAGTCCACACTCCCGATGTACCATCCCCGTGACGTCAGTACAAAACAGATGTCGTTCGGGTGTCATCGAGCGTGCGAAACAAGTCCGGCAGTATACGATCCAAGTGGTGCCACGCATAATTTATGCCATCGACTTAACCGAACCAACTCCACGCACGTGGACACACCTTCTGGCGAAGCTGCATGCGTAACTACCTCGACCGTAGCTGGCACCAACCGGCGTTGCAAGGAATTCCAAAAGCCGCGCGGGGACGTAAGAACCCGCGCGGGGGTGCGGACGCGGAGATAGACGGGCGCGGAGCTGGACGGGGGCCGAGCGCGCCATGGCCCTGCCCGACGTGGCCAGCCGGAAGCGGACATAAAGGCGGCGGACGGACGGACAGACGAGGCCGACGGCAGCACAGTGGACACGGACAATGGCGCCGCTCCGTGCCGCACAAAGGATACACGCCGGAGTCGGCCTCCGTGCGGTGGATGTGGCGCAGCAGGAGCGTCTCCTGGCGGCGCGCTACGGCGGTCGCCTCGGCGCTCCACGTCAGCGCGCCGTGCACGTTCCAGGGGGCGGCGGCGAGCGAGTCGTACTGCGCCTGTGGACGGGCCGACGCGGACAACCGGGTTACCTTCACGGCCAGCCGCAAGCAGCGGCGGCTAACGAGGCGCGCGTTTATGTCTTTTTCTCCTCTGAAATGTACGGAATGCGTTTAGCAAGAGGTTATCACGCCATCACATCACCATATGGAAATCCCGCAGGCGACCGGTCGCCGATGACGAGGCATTAGCAGAGTGCTGTTGCGTGCAGCCGTCCCGGCGTAAACATCGCGCCTCGCTAGGCGGCGCCTGACAGCTGAAAAAAAAAACGATGGACATTCGTATATGCGCTCGTTCCATTCACCTTGTCGAACTTTTAGACGGCGCCTGCGATGTTGGACATGGGAGGCAGACAGGAACATAATCAGCTTTACAAGCAATAAAAACAAAAACACCTCCACTGCACTAAATTTATCTAGAGTAAATATCGCTCACTTTTTGCGCCGCATCTTTATGCTACCAATGCCTTTTCCCTGGTTTAACACAGCATGTATTTCCAGGCTGTGAACCCACACTACTAATTCTGGAAACAGTTGTAAATAAAAACGCATGCACTATTGCTGCGATACGTTACTACTTTTAGAAGCATCCTCGACAAAAAAGCTGCATCTGTTCCCTGTGACATGACACGAATGGTCGTGATGGTCGAGCGACAACGGCCATCGCCTGACAGATAATCCAATTCGGGCACACAAATCTCCAATCAGGACAGCGGTCGGTGACGTCCTCGCGTGCCTCCCCTCCCCCCCCCCCCCCCTTCCCCCGAGCGCGCGGCCGACAGGACCAGCGGCGACGCCGCGCACAGTTCGCGCCGCCAGCGCCAGCGCGTCCACAAATCTCTCGGCGCGCTTTCGGCCGATACGGCCGCTGCGGAGCTCAGCTGCCATGTAACCATCGCGGCGTAAATATCGGGCGCGCCGGGCCGAGCGGCGCCCACTGACAGCCGAAAGCCGATTGCGTCTGACGGCTTCACTGGCGCCGCCGGCAAAAAGCCGCCAGTGGCCGCCGACCGGCAGACGCTAACAAATCGTCCCGATTACAGGCTTTTTGCCGCCCGCCGCCCAAACTGCTGTCGTGACTTGCGAGTCCTGTGCCTCACTCACGCGTGTTCGACAGCGGCGCGCGGAAGGTGGACGCCAGGATACTGTCGCAACGTTTCCAACGTTTGGTACCCATCTCACCTCGTTTCGCGCAGAATACGTGCGTGCATCGCCAGAGCGTGCACTTTATGCAGATAAGCATTTCATGCCAGCAGATTTGGGGGACGTATGTGGTACAGGTATGTACCCACCAACCAGCGGTCCGGTGAGTAACGACATTTTGGAACTCATGTTTGGAGGATTTATATTCGATACAGACATCTGTAGCATTCAGTCACCGTGCGTTGGCCATGGCCAAGTCCCCACACGCCTACATCGCGAAAATGTGGAAGCATGTGCCCACGAAGACGGTTACACCAAACCTTTACACCTGATTCAATGGCGAAGGCAATTCAATAGCAATTTAATTCGATTCAATCCCCTTTCAAAAGGTTTTGTAGTGTAAGATAGTCACGTCATGCAAATAATAACGGGAACCCTTCAAAATAGGCCAAGCTCAGGTTCACAACAGGAAAGATCATGAGGCGGACTTCAAAGTCCCTGGGTCCTTAAAACACATCAAAAGACTGATATAGCCGTCAGCGTTGATCTTTAAGTCACTTAGCGCAAGGCCAAATGATCCAAAGTGATCACAAATGATCCCAACCCTGATCGAGCGCTGGAAATCCATGCTACTACATGATGCCTGCCCTTTTGCATCGCATGTCTCCCGCCACGACGAATTCTGTCATCTGATGTAAGGCTGCACAGAACTGACATATGTATAAACAACATATGTTTAAAACAGCAAATTGTGTTTCAGTACCAGCAGTATCACCAACGCGTGCTCGCCCGTCATAAGACCCTACATCGAGACTAAAACATTCCAGGATTATTACCGATAATTATAAACAGAAAATTATTTTTAAAATAATCCAATGGAACGGTAGTATCCCATCTTTTCGATACTTTTGATCAGCAATGCGTTTTCTCCAAACCCCTCTGATAAGCTCAGATTTCAGGTAACCCACCACGCGGGAGGGATCTCATGGCATTCCCTGCTCACCTCATTAAAAGCTATGCATTTAATTTCCCTCGCTTTTTCCAACGTGCGCTCTGCAATGTTTCTAACACACTACTGTGCCAAACTGTTTGTGTAATAAATGTTACAACAGCTTAAAACACTGTGCTTAGACAAAAAGACTAGCGAACATGGAGCTTTTATCCCGCGAATTCAACGAAACGTTATACTATGGCCTTGATTTCTCCCCTACAACTCTTGGCGTTTACTACAGTGGCTCTTCGAGGCGCACTTTAGCTTAGGGCATGGGAGTATCATATGGTCCATAGTGACGTACTGGTTCAAACTTCGGCCAACGCGCTTCTCGATAACAGACCCTTCTCTGCTGCGCCAATCAAAAGCATTCTTTTATTTGTATTCCCACGCACAGAGATGCGCACGGTGGTTGTTATGACGAAGGTGGTTGTGACTGCAGGGAAAAAGGAGGCGCTGTTACAAAGCCCTAACTACCGTCATTATGTCTCCACGGTGCTGCAATGACCACACCGAGTGCTATCATTCGACGCAGCTGGTCCTGAGGTTTCATCAGCGTATGTTTTTGAAATATGCCCGAAAGGTGGGACACTCCGACCTTGGGGGCGTATTTCAGCAGTTGGAAACACTTTCTACGTATTTTACTGTCGAACGATTTTTCAGCACACCCTATACCTTAATCCTTTCAAATCTGTCGCATATGAGCCATTACACATGTGCACGCACGCACGCAACCGTCAACTGTTGCTCAGCACTACACACGTGCACAACTTTCAGTGGCGCAGCTGCCGTCTGTAAGGAAGTGCCTGTCTCCGCGCGGCCGCCGTTGGCCGGTGCTCACCTGTCGGAGGACGAGGCCGAGGCCGGGCGCCGTGGGCGTACATAGCCGCTGGTAGCCTAGTGCATCCGGCAAGGCGTCCGGAGCGGCGGCGCCGCGGCACACAGCCACCACCATTCCCACCATGCGCCGGATCTGACTCAGCACAAAACTGGCGCCTGCAACGGAGCTGACGCGTTAGACGGCGCCACTGCAGCAACCGGCGCCAGGGCAGCACCCGGCAGCGGGGCAGCACCCGGCACCGGGGCAGCACCCGGCACCGGGGCAGCACCCGGCACCAGGGCAGCACCCGGCACCGGGGCAGCACCCGGCACCGGGGCAGCACCCGGCACCGGGGCAGCACCCGGCACCAGGGCAGCACCCGGCACCGGGGCAGCACCCGCACCAGGGCAGCACCCGGCACCGGGGCAGCACCCGGCACCAGGGCAGCACCCGGCACCGGGAGCACCCGACGCCGGGGCGGTCATCGCCGGCGTTGCCGCCGCCCTGGCCATTGATGTGGGGCCGGTTTATCGACGCCACAGACGGAGCTCGATTGGGTTATCGTCAAACGGACTTCCTTGGAGAGAAGAAATGCGGCTGATTTGAGAACTATCGGTTGGCTAGTGGGGAATGGATGGTGCTTGATTGGGCGGCTACGCGACCAGCATGATTTTATGCCAGACGCGTTTGTATGCTCGGTGCTCAAAAAACATATTATTCGAAGCGTGCAGGAAAGTGCAGTTCGTTATCTATGAATTGTTCGATTTTGAGTGTTGAACACATTTACGAACGCAAATTTTTACTGCCATCAAATCAAATAAAACCCAAGTTTTGGCCTCAAGTGCAGAAGGTGTCGCCTCGAAATAGTTCTCAGCAATTCTCCAAGGATGGGTCAGGTACAGCAATAAAACCCAAACTTGATAATATTGGAACACATTGAAGCATTGATCGCCGGGTTGCCTAAAGCCTGAAGCCTACAAAATCCGTATTAGACGTCGGCCCCATCTTCAGCATGCATCTCAACGACTGGCCATTTCTCCAAATCCAAACTAGCGCCAAAGTTTAACTGTCAACCCACATTTGCAGTCCAAAATTCGAAATCAAGGCAGAACCGCCTGGGGCAAACGAGCACTACAGAATGTCCGGCCTGTCATAACAGGGGTGACGGAAAGCACTGCGCGCTCCGTTCTCACCCTTGACCCAGATGGTGGTGAACTCCAGGCCGTGGGCCAGGTACGGCTCAGCTACGTCGATGCTCATCACTCTGCGGGTCATCTTCTGCGAGTCCGGGTCCCTGAGGCAGCCAGTACGCAGGTCACTGGCGCTCTGCACGCTCACCGGGCCGGAGCACGGTTCGAACAGCGCCGCCCGACGCTCTGCACACTCACCGGGCCGGAGCACGGCCCGAACAGCGCCGCCCGACGCTCTGTACACTCACCGGGCCGGAGCACGGTTCGAACAGCGCCGCCCGACGCTCCGCACACTCACCGGGCCGGAGCACGGTTCGAACAGCACCGCCCGACGCTCTTTACACTCACCGGGCCGGAGCATGGTTCGAACAGCGCCGCCCGGCGCTCTGCACACTCACCGGGCCGGAGCACGGTTCGAACAGCACCGCCCGACGCCCTTTACACTCACCGGGCCGGAGCACGGTTCGAACAGCGCCGCCCGACGCTCTTTACACTCACCGGGCCGGAGCACGGCCCGAACAGCGCCGCCCGACGCTCTTTACACTCACCGGGCCGGAGCACGGTTCAAACAGCGCCGCCCGACGCTCTGCACACTCACCGGGCTGGAGCACGGCTCGAACAGCGCCCCCCAACGCTCTGTACACCCCCCGGGCCGGAGCACGGTTCGAACAGCGGCGCCCGACGCTCTGTGCACTCACCGGGCCGGAGTACGGCCTGAATGGCGCTGCGCACGGCCCGGCTGCTGCTGTCGTGTTATGTGGCGCAAGCACGCGCCCCTGCTGCAACGGGCAGTTACTGCGTGCTGGTGAACAAATTCACCTGGGCACCCCTGGCTATTTCCAGGCCGTGATTTGTATCCGAAAGTAGGGGCTCTGACGCAAAAGGAAGTACAGCGCTTGATCACCGTGAATCGAGAACAATGTAACTCAGCCCGGTGCCGTGGGATTAATAAACAACTCACCCCTTGGGAGAGAAACTATGGAAGCTGTGGACGCCCACGTAATTCTGAAATAACTGGTACACCTCTTGTCGTCTGGACTCGGTCAGGCGGTAAACCAGGGACACCGTCTGCGAAGAGCACGGGCACGCGGCAGTCCAAGCACAGTGCTCACATATTTGCAACAAACCTGATGGAAACGCGCCTGCAATCCTTGTTGGACGTATCTGGACAAAAATGCGACAACGCTGGGCCTCGACGTAAAAGTTGCTTTCTTGTAAACCACACATACACACACACGCGCGCGCGCGCACGCGCAGGCACGCACAAACGTTTATTGGCTGATTGGACGGTCGACAGCATTATTGTAGTGGTTTCTAAACAATTTGTAGATGATCAATGGTCATCAAGCACTTGGTGTCATACAGATGTTTCTGAATTTCAATGGCAGCGTTATGTCTGTCAAATTGCATCACGCATTCAATCACAAAGACAAAGCGATGCAATGCAGTTACGGCAGCCAGACACCATGAGTGGCGTGGTATGAGTGAGCCGATAACAAGTGTCGCTGTCGTCAGTCGTTACGTAGATGATGGCAAAAGGTAACGTTATAATGACGAGGATTATGTCAGATGCGCGATGATGAAGGTTATGTCAGACCACTCCGACAATCAACAGCTTTCAGCAACCAGATGGAAAGTCTATATTTAATAGTCATGACATGCGGAAATTAACTAGTGCAATTATCTAGCCAGTTCTCAAATGATTGGCTCGAAAATGACGGGTAACGGTCCGCTGAGGCCCGGCAGTTATTATGGAAGAATGCGCTAAACATGATTTATTGTGATTGGCGCTTGTCGCCATCGTGACCAAAGCAATGCAAACAGAGCACAGCAGGATTCGGATGAATACTTGTCCTAATAAGCATGGCTACACGTCTGCGTAGTTTTCATGGGCAAATCGTTTTACTGTTTAGGCCATAGCGTCCTGCATTCGTGCGCCAGTGCCGTTGCGCCAGTGTCGGCCTAACGATGGCCAGCCAAACGTTACGCCCTGTACCTCTACTAAACACTTCATGTCAAGTTTGTACCAGACAAACCGTTACTTTGACGAAGTTGTGGCCGGAGGCATAAGATCAAGGGCAGGGGCTGATAAAGATCAAGTCCGATACCCACAGGTTCAAGTCATTGGAGGAGAACTGCAGCGTGATGATGGGAACATCATCGGCACAACAACATAACATATGGTCAATGTTGAAAACAAAGCTTCGAAAGCATGGCAGTGTATAGACCAACCCGCCGGAAAAAAATACAATAGGAAAGGCAAAGAAAGCCCCAATGTTCTATGTACATGCACCACGTGTTTCTTTTGACATGCGCCTATCCCCGTTAAGATAGTTTATCTACATAACGATGCTGAGTTGGCTGTGCTGACTTTCGACAATAGTCTTCCTTTCTCTCCTGATATCCCCCTATCTTGCAATGCAATTAGAAACACATGTGAATGCGGGGCAGATGCCATTACATGAGCTTAACTGCGCATTTCATAACTTATACTACCGTTCCAAAACATTCCCTCAGGTCATTTAAATAAACACAACTGACCAATCAGATACCACAGTCAAACCTAACGCTCCACCCTAGTACACAATCCCAACCATCTTTAGCTGATGCCGCACAAGTGCGGGTGGTATGCTAAAAAAAACGATGAATTCCTAATAGTAAACATGCAGGTACTAATACCACACGCCACTTTATGTTCTCAGGTGAGCGACAAACAACAGTGATCTACACGTGAGAAACAAGAACGTTAAATTGGCACATTTCGGGACGGATGCACTTCAAATCAGCCGCCAGAGTTCCAGTGGCACAACACTTTCCATCACATGTCGATGAACATCACCGCGCAAGATGTCATAGGACAACCAGTACCTCACACATGGGCGCAAATGCAAACGTTGGCAAGGTGTAGGAGTAGAGTCGGCCATCACAGAGTTTCTGGGCGTTGAAGCTCGGCGGCACGCGACGGATATCACAGATCCGAATGTCGTCCGGTAGGTGGCAGTTTATCTCGTCTATCACGCCATCCCAAACACCTGGAGGGCATATGTGGGGTCATCAAACCCACATTGTTCGTGCAAGAAGGCAATGGCACAGAACTCAAACAGTTACAGGCATCTCACAGTTAAAGTTCAATAAGGTATGAAGCGATCAGTTATAACAGCACATGGCATGAGAAAAACTTCCATAATACATTGTACGCCTGCAGTTTAGGACACGTTTGACAGTAACCGAAAAAATACACCATAAAGCAATCGCCCTTATTCACTTAGCCCGCTTCCTCCAGCCTCATGCAACAGCCCGTTTGATCAAGACCGTGGTGTAGACGTCAGCCATGAGCTGACCACAGGGGCCCCATGGCTGAGGGGTTCGCCCGGCACCTCCCTAACCCCAGTTTGGGCTCCCTGTGCAGGGTAAATATTGGGGCTGGAGGTATCCCTCAGCAGTCAAAATATTATGCTACCTTCACTTCTGCTTTCAGTCACATAGCTTTGAAAAAACCAACTTTACCCAACCAAACATGAAAAAGAAGTTCAAAGCAAACCGCGAAGGAGACCGGAAGACGTAGCCGGCCAGCCGCCAGCCCAAAAACTTACGCATGCGCATGGACACGACCTGGCCGAGCGCCGAGACTCCTCTGTCGGTGCGCGAGGCGCGCGAATAGTGCGGGGGGTAGCCGGCATCGTCACCGGCCACCGCGCCGCTCCGCGACAGCGCGCCAAACAGCTCGGCCTCGACGGTGGGCAGGCCGGTCCTCCTGCTGGGCGCGAGCTGGGCTGAGCACGCCCCTTGCATGAGAGGGCCGCGCGGAAGTGCAACGCTGCTCTGTGCGCTCTGGCCACAGGAGCTGGTAAGACACTACGGCTGGATTTGGCATCCCCAGTAAATCTATTTGAAAGCAATGTGAAACCCTAAACTGAACAGCATTACAAAAACGTCACTGTACAGTGCAAAAGTGGGCTCTCACAGCAGCCAATGTGCTCACGGTGCTATGGTTACTTCCTAAATACAGTCCAGTAACAAAACACTGATGTCCTCACATTGGACATAAAAGAAAGTCATACATTAATAACTCACTGCTGCTGCAGTTGGTACGTGCATACGCGATGAAGCAGCACAGATTGGTCTCAACAAAGTTCTGTCACAAGTAACAGTGAAGAGCAAACTAACACATTAAAATGAACCACCTAATCAGCTGGCAGTATATGGATCTCAGAAAGTGCATTTATACATCAATGAGTCATGATAACAAGCACTTGCTGCCCACATCCAGGATGAGAAGTATCATTACCTGAGCAGTTCCATACCATAATATTTGTTCCCATGGTAAGTCAGCAGCATGGCAACTTTGCGCAACTTCGAATTGCATCTGAATGGAGAAGCTCCATCCTCACATTGCTTGGAGCTATTTGCAGCAGTAGGCTTACAAGTTTCAGTCAAGCGACCTCGGATGAAACTCCGGTGGTCAACTCTTGCACATACACAGAGCATATTTCTGATAAGCATATATTTCATACTTGTTCAGTGTTGTCCTTTAACTCAAAAATCAACACTCCACACATATACTCTATCCATGCTTCTGAAACAATGGGCAGCATATACAAATAATCCATGATCAAATCATTTTAAATCATAGTGATTTTGCATTTATAGAAGCATGTCTATTGCATAAGCAACATTGTTTACAGAATGAGCAGCACTACCCAACCAACTGAAAAGCTCTTATCATCCTTCTTACAGTTTGACTTCATCCAAACTTAATCAGTCTGATCTTGCCATGAGGCATGGCATCCACCACGGTACCAATAGACACTGTGGTTGGCTTGCGACTTCTTGGTAGGTTGTCAGCATTTAATGATCTGCCAGCCATTATCTGTGCAATGAACCCATTATGTCTTAAGATCAAGTATTGAATCCATGTGATACCACAACAGCCTGGCACTGATAAGGTAACTGACTACTCTAGTAATACTATGATGTATGACCACCTGTATGCTGTTTTTTTTGTAAGCATTATCTACTTGACACACTGTTCCATGTCTTGCCTGGCACAAGACTCACATAGTCATACTGTGTGGTGTTGCCTCAAAACAGGTACAAATGCAAATGTAACAGCAGTGAGAATTGAAAGAAAACACAGGTATCAGTTGGTCTCTCCATTGTAAGCCAAGCAATAGGTTTATAAAATAAATTCCACTAACTGCAACAATTCAGATGTCTTGACCATGTCCTTCAAAATGTTGGTGACAACATTATATGTACAATACATAAGACAGGCAAGATTATACATATGGGATATAGATGCTTTGATATTGTGGCAACATGCCTTTTTTAGAACACATAGCAGAAGCAATTTTGAAATTGCCTGCCATGATCCTACAATTTTTCAGGGTTTTTTAAACCAGTGAGCCACAGTTTTTACAGGTCACCAACATCCAGGGGATTACATGAGGAGCAATTGTCAGCCATTATTATGATGTAGTGCATATCTCACTATGAATTACAATGCACAAAAATGTGTATGTCAGCAAATTAAAGAAAACAGGCATTATACATTATGCTTTATTAAATCATTTCTTCAAAAAAAACATGCAAAGCTGAGTACCATTAACAAGCAATTTTGAATTGACTTCTGCTATTTGTTTTGATAGCCATGTTGCTGAAATATCAAACCATCTATATCTCCATTCTCCTATTCTCTCTATGAGCAATAAGGCTTTTACTACTGCATTATGCTTAACCAATTCTCACCTAATTCAACCACTGAAACTCTCAGAATGCCTCCGGGGCCCCTACCCGCATACCCGCACACCTGCACGACCATACCAGCCCTGCCTCGTCTTGGATAAGGGCGCATAGCCCACCACCACTACACCATGTGATGGGATGTCATTGGGGCTTTACGACGCACTCAGCTGCTGGTGCTATATAGCGTCGCCCGCCCCTCGCCCTGGCAGGAAGGGCGGGTATCGCGGGGAGCCGAACCCCGCACCTCTGGTTTCCCAGACGTCGCCACCACACCGGCCTCGAGACAACTGGTCACATCTGTCGCAAACGCGCAGGGAATGGATTTTATGTTATTTATGATCGAGACGACATTGAGATGTTGCCGCAACTTGGATGTCTGGAGCTTTCAGACAAGAAATCTATTCAATATTAGCAGACAAGCAAATTGCAAAATTTCACCACAACGCTTTACCTGCTCTTAGGTGCTTCAAAACAAAAAGAACTATATTTGTGCATTGGCTCTCCAATGCCTGTTCTTTATTTACACTTAACGGCAGGTAAGCTGTTCTATATATCAGAGCTTAGGACGCCCGAAATGTCCAAGTTTGAAAAATCGATCTGCATCGTGTCCATTCACGTTTTTCAGCCTGAGATACGTCGAGTACGTCACAAGTCGCGAATGCATCTGTGATACTATCAGGAAGGCCGTATAAGGATGGCCATGCTTACAAGCATTAGTGACATCCCATGACATCATTTTCCAGCAAATATGCAATTGGTGATAATCAAGAACGCGTCCCGAAAGCCCATGGTGGGTTGCGTTTAACGGGATGCCACGAGATGTTTGTAATATCGTAGACAACGCAGTTTGTTTTTGGTTGTAAAAATATGCACCAAATGCTTATGAATATTTTGGACTTTCGAAATTCTTTCAATGGAATCTATAGCCAATCTACAATTAATAATGTTTCAATTTTTTTAAATCACATGCTTCTCAATCGCAGTAATCGCTAGATACTTTACGCTACAAACTGGTTCTGGTGACCTAAACTGAAATAGTGGTTCTCTCGTACTTTTTGCGTGTTTGTCCGTGGCGTGTTTACGTTCTTCGTTCGGCGGTTGTTTGTAAACGAGCGCTGGATGGAAGGTAGGAAGCCGACGGCAGGCGATTGTGGAGTTTGTGGTTTAAGTAAGGGTGCTCCTGGTCACTTGTAGCCTGAGAGGATGAAGTCAGGAAGCTTGTGAAGGATATAACCTAGGTGTTACCAAATTAAATTCTGTACTGAGGTGGCTTCGGTGATAGCGCCTTTTCTTCGCTAAGCATAGCCTGTCGCGATACTACATACCATGCCGCTCAGATAGTTAGATCAGACTGCAGTAATTATACATTATACTGAGCATGTGCCATATTTTCATCGCATCGAGGGCCAATTTTTCTAGCATTGGATGTGTTGTAATGTTGATTGCGGACTGGAATATCTTCACTATGTCTACACATGTAAAGAAATGTTTGTTAAAAAGGATAGATTTAACCTTATCTGTGTGCTTGCAACCACAAGCACCAGTTTCAGCATGTTGATGCCATCTAGATACAGGTGTGAGAAGCAGGGGGATGGGCCAAGGGCTGAACCCTGCAGCATTATCAGTTGAAAATTGGTCCCATGGATATTGACTGGACAGAGGTAATGCAAAATGACTTCCCTCTTTCTTTGACTTGGGAGGACTTTTATTACATCTGCTGAGGTGTTCAGATGTATGGAGCGGTCAGTGAATATTTGGTGCGTTGGTAGTTAAGTATCTAATCTCTGTTTAGCAGCCAATTTTTGACAACAGACTTGCATGTGGTGTATAAAGGATGGCATGGCCCACTGGCTACCAGACTGCCACAGTTTGGTTCAGCTATCTTGGCCAGTTGACAGTAGTCTTTAAATGGTCATCTAGTCTACAGTGTCAGGAAGGGTCATCTTGTCTGTAAGCATAGCCATTGAGAATCTGTGTATTTTGTTTGCTTGATAAATTGGCATTGTCACTGTTGACAGTGCCTTTTTGCATGTTAAATTATCATATTGTGCTGTGCATGGATAATTTTGCTAGTTCTTTTTTAGTAATGTCCAGATTATCATTGAACCTATAGAAATCCTCATGGATTTTGCACTCTTGTGAAAAAAGGGTTGAAAGAATGCTTACTTTTAACTTCTCATGGCAACATGGGTGCAATATTGGAGAATGTGTAGTGTACTAAAGAATGCAATGTTTAGACAATGGCCCTTTCATGAAAACTGCTCAGCTGGAATGGTGGTTTCAAAAAAAGCATCAGGGTTTAATGAGCATAACTCTGATTTTGCCAGGCTACCCTCTCCAGCTGGAATAAGAGCAATTAAGAAAATAGTATGTTCACTAAGTGTACTTTTGACCACCTTGACATTCTTGGAAAAGATGAACATTTCCTCCCTCAAGTATGGTGGAATGCAGGAGTGCTGTAAGATGGTCCAGTTGTATCCAATATGTTCAAAGGAAGAGATTTTCACCATTGAACTCAGCTGGTCAACAGTGGCTTGGAACATTTACTTTTCTGGTCATTGCCAGGTGTTAATTGACCCAGGGGATGGCAGACTGTTTTTGTTTCTGTTTTTTGATCCCAGACATGTATTTGTAGCATTGCAAATATGTGTGATATGTATGGGTATTCACTTCATAGATAAGACTTCTGAAGCAGAATTGCACCTGCCCTAAAAAAAATTGTGAGGGGAAAGGCAAAACCAGCAGAGTGGGATCATGTGCAGCAAAACCCAAAACCAGGAGCCATAATTTTGAAATGATTTTGAGTTAAAGGCAAAGCTAGCTATGAAAAATAACAGCTGAAGATTAAATCAAAGCCAACCATATCAAATTATGAAGTAAAAACCAAAGCCAACTGTGGAGAAGGATGAGAAAGAAACAAAAGAAAAAGGTGAAATCATTGGTTGAAAACTGTAGCTTCCTGAGGCCAAAGCCAAAGCCAGCTTCATCCATATGCTTGGCCTAGACCATTGGTTCAACTTTATTCTGGGCCATTTTTGCACAATTGTGTGCCTTTAGGACTGAATGGGCTTGAAAGGCTAAAAAGTCTCACTGAGGTTTGCTTGCAGTGAGCTCCACAGTGTTTGGCCTTTGTTATTTTGATAAGCTAGAGAAATAATTAGCAAACTAGCTGCAGCCCACAGGATTTGGACCACCACATAGTGACAAAAAGGAGCATGTGCCAGAGGTAATTCTACTTGATAAGCGACTGATAGCCATCACACCTTCTGCTTTGTTATCTGATCCATATATTGCTGCTTTGCCTTGCCATTTTGATGAGTAATTGAGAACATGTGAAATGCCTGCATCATTCCTGAGAATGCTGGTGAGCATCAACATGGTATCATCAGTCAGTGATGGTAGATCCCCTGAAAGCGGAGAGTGAACGCGGTTCGTTTGTAGTGTCTTTCTTCAGCGCCACTTGGTTTGTTACTTTCCAAAGATGGGAGTGGCTTCTCCTGGCATTCGTCTCCGCCCTCCCTGCTAGGAGCATCGTTATCGTGAACGGCGCGTGACTCTCGCTGCTGCCGGCCCAGCGAGCCAGGACGAGCAGTAAGTGGCGCTGACCCGGGGCTGGGCCGCGTCCGGCGCCCGGCCGCCGGCCTACTGCGCTGTCGGCCAGCCTGCTTCCCTGCCAGTCCAGGGCCGAACCCTTCCGCCGAGCCCGTGCGGCCGGACGGCGTGACCTTCCCGCCAGTCCCGCCCTCCCTCCCCCCCCCCCCTCCCCCCTCCCGCCGCCGCCGCCACCGCCGCCGTCCGCGCGGCAGTTGGGCTGGTTCCTCGTGTGCCGAGTGGTGCGCGGCCTGGTCTGGAGGCGGGAGCGGCCGCGCGCGTGGCACCTGTCGGGTCGAGCCGCGACCTCAGCGGCGCCGGCGTCCCCGAACGCCAGCCGTGACAGGTGGGCTAACGGCGCGGACGGTTTGTGGCCGTGCGTGGGTTTTGTCCCTGGGAGCAAGCGGAGCCCGGTCGACTCTGGACGCAGGTGCGGGCAGAAGTGGTGCAAGACAAATTTTTGTGTGTTTTACGGCCATTGCGGAGCGACCTATGTCATGAATTGAATTTTGAGTGTACAAACTTGTTCTTGAAAACTTTGATTCTGAATGGATCTTTGAATGCCGTTTGGGGGGGGGGGCGTGGGACAGGAGGCGCTCCACAATGTTGATACCGCGGGGATTAAAATGCCGAAAGCTTTTGTTTTGCTGGAACTTATGTGGTCCTTCCCGGCCCCTCCGCTTCACCAATGCAAAGTTCGCTGGTGATTATCCCATTCTTACTATTTGTTGGCTGTGTGTTTCGCATCCTGCTCTTCTCTTACAAGCATCCCAACCTGTGTTTTGCCATGCGTCCAGAGATGAGGTATTTTTATGTGTAAAAAATAGACAGTCTGTCTTGGAAATGCCCTTACGGTACGTCGCGTGTTATGCCTACTCACACACACCGAACATCAAATGGCGCTAGAGGTCGGAAAATCGGTAAAGAAATTCTGGTCGTTAGCTGGTATTGCTGCGTTTGTTTGTAGCACGAATATCCGCATTTTACGACCGGTTCGTTGTGTTGATCTGTTTGTTTTATTGATTTGTTCGCCGCGCCTCTGTGGCCCTACCCGCCGTCCGACACGTTCTCCGTTCGTCCCCCTGCCCGCGTGCTCTGGCTTTCGCTGCTCCGCCGTCGCGCGGTCCCAGGCGCCGCCGCCGCAGCCTCCGTCCGTTCATCTCCCCCGCCCGTGTGCTCTGGCTCTCGCTGCTCCGCCGTCGCGCGGTCCCAGGCGCCGCTGTCTCAGCCTCCGTCCGCTCGACTGCCATCCGCGCGCCGCTCGTCGCTCAACCCTTTCTTTTCGTCATCTCGGCCGCGCGCCGCACTAGCTGCCCATAACGCCGCGCCGTTTAACCCGATCCCGGTGGCGTGACGTCACAGGCGCCAGGTGAGCCGGCAAGGGTTGAACGCGACGCCGGCGACCGGGCAGCGCGCCGCCGCCGCGACAGCGCCCTGCACGTGGACGCTGTTGCCAGGGGGGCCGCCGCCCGGTGCATGATGCGTCCTTGTGCGGTTGCGCCAGGGGCGCGATCCCGTGGAGTTATACGATGTAGAAACAGCGAACGGAGGGCCCGAAATCCGGAAAGAGTGCCTTATTGCACGCTGCTCGCCTCAGCGCAACAAAGTATTGAAAGGAAGCAAGACAAGCTAAAAGCGTATGTCTGCAGCCACTTCTTCCTACATGGACCCTGCCGCGGTTACTGTCGAGAGGGAAAAAGGGCTCCAGGTCGGGCTCCCTCCTGGCGAAAAGCTTGTGCTCCTGACGGCGATTGGCTGAGTTGGTGCGGGACGCGGCAGACACTAGCCCGGGCGGAAACTGAAGCCAGGACCCAGTCCGCCCACGCCGCGGCGATATCGGGGCCGCCGCCACCTCCGGCGACCGAGCGTCGTGACTGCATTGGACGCGACTGCATAATGCTGGGGTATAATGCGGCGTTCAGGGCGTCCGCGAACCGGTGCGGTGGCGCCCGATTGTCGGCTGTTGTGTGACGCTCTGGTCCGCGCAGATCGGGTGCTCGATTGGGCCGTGCTGTGCTGGTAGCCGGTTCCGTGTGTCCCCGGGCGCCGCGCCGGAGCTGGCTGGCGGCAGCGCCAGCCGGATCGGGAGCCGGGCCTGAGCGTAGCGGCCGACCCCCGATGGGACGGCGCTGCTTACGGGATGCTTGGACGCAGGCACGGGCCACAGGTGCGAGGCCGCGGCGGGGCGGCGGGGTGCACTGCCGAGCAGCACCGGGCAGCGATGCTGGACAAAGGCGGCGTGGCTCGGCATATGGGACCACGGATTGTGGCTGATCACATCCAGCCCCGGCCCAGGTTGGAGGCGGCGGACGGCGTGCCCTGCGCACCGGCTGCGAGCGCGAACACTTTAGGGACCTGTTCTGGGCCGCCCTCAACAGCCGAGGCTCGGGCTCCGAACGATCGCCGCTCCAGGTGTCAGGAGCCTAGGTGGTGGGCTCCATGCCCGTTGAGTCTAGCTTCCTCCAGCGTTTGGCTGTCGTTAGCTAGCGAGCCCGCTGTCAATCCCAATCCCCCAACAAAGCGTGCCGTCCCCAGAGCCCGGCGTCTGCCGTGCTTCGGTCCGGGCAGCCGCTGACCAGAGCCGGTCATGCTATCTGCGCTGTCTGGATCACTGTCACTCCGTACGGACTGGCCGGCCGCATTCACGTCTGTGTCGATTTTAAACACTGACACCTTTTTTGACTGCCGCTCTCTTGAAACGATTTTTGACAATGATCTGATTACTTCCATGCTGTATTGTCTCTCCGATTTAAGTAGTTGACGAAATTAACTTTTGTTAGTTGAAAGCGTGACTGTATTCGTCGCTGGTAGTTGTTTTTGGGGGGGGGACGTTGGTGCAGGACGAGTGGCTGACGAAGCAGACCGCGTGTAGAAATCAGACCTCAAGCAGCCCTTCCCCGTCTCCAGGTGTCCTGTCTCAAGACGGGTCAGAGTACGAGCCTTGCCGTGATCTTGTGACTGCCGCTAAGCGTGTGAGAGGAGCTCTCCGTACTCGTGAACGGACGGGTCGTGACCTTTGATTGGGGCTCTGGAGGCACTGCGAAGAGCGGCTGCTAGAAGCCCGTTGACCAGCCCGCAATGTTTCCACATAGCTCTTTTACCGCTAATGTTGTCACAGTCTGACCGGCTCCGTGGTGGCCTCGGCGGGTGCAGGTGTGGGATGATGTACCCTCTCTGTGGGGAATCTCCGACAAGATGCACCTCGCCCTCTGGTTGCACGGTCGGACTCATGATCGCACTCGACAGGCGTGACACTAACTCGAAATGTTACCTTGCAGATGGGAGGTCGGTCTTGCCGCTGACTTTGGTGGAGCGTCCCCTGCGTGGACTCGCCCTGTCGTCCTGTCGGCACAGTCCAGCGGCGTTCTCCGGTCAGTAGTGGGGTCGTGGGGTCGCCCTGTCGGCACAGTCAAGCGGCGTTCCCCGGTCAGTGTTTAGGTCGTGGGGTCACCCTGTCGGCACTGTCCAGCGTCATTCTCCGGTGGGTGGCGGGGTCGTGGGATCGCCCTGTCGCCCTGTCGGCACGGCCCAGCGGCATTCTCCGGCCAGTTGTGGGGTCGTGGGGTCACCCTGTCGCCCTGTCGGCACAGTCTAGCGGCATTCTCCAGTCAGTGGTGAGGGTCGTGGGTTCACCCTGTCGGCACAGTCTAGCGACATTTTCCGACCAGTGGTGGGGTCGTGGGGTCAACCTGCCGGCACTGTCCAGCGGCATTCTCCGGCCAGTGGTGGGGGCGTGGGGTCACCCTGTCGGCACAATCCAGCGGCATTCTCCGGCCAGTCGTGGGGTCGTAGGGTCACCATGTCGGTACAGTCCAGCGGCATTCTCCAGTCAGTGGTGGGGTCGTGGGGTCACCCTGTCGGCACAGTCCAGCGGCATTCTCCGGCCAGTCGTGGGGTCGTGGGGTCACCATGTCGGCACAGTCCAGCGGCATTCTCCGGTCATTTGTGGGGTCGTGGGGCTATCCTGTCGCCCGTGGGGTCGTGGGGTCACCCCGTCGGCATAGTCTAGCGGCATTCTCCGGCCAGTGGTGGAGTCGGGCGGGTTACACGTGGACTGTGTCTGTTCTCGTGTGTGCCAATCCGCCACCTTGCACGGCGGGGCGAAGTACGTTAAAATCATGCCGCCAGCACTTGTGTGTGTGTGTGTAGGGGGGGGGGGGGGGCGCGCTGTGCACGGTGTTCAAGACAGGGTGCAGGCGGCCCAGGAGTGTTGTGCCAGTGTTGTGTAGCAGCCCACATATTCCATGTTGTCTGTTTTACTGTGGGGTGAGGTTATGGGGCTATGCAGTGGAATGGATTTCGCAGTGCGATCACAGCTCTGTACTTACAGATTCAAAGTTCCGACAAGATTCTGGAGGCGCATTTATTTGCCGAGATCACACTCAACGTCTCTGCCCCTTCCATCAGATGTCAGTTTCTCTTCAGAACTGTGCACCATTTCAGCACCACATCATTGCGTCACCTGTTACTCAGAAAGAGGTGTAGTTATTTTCACAGATTCGCTAAGTCCACTTTTAGCATGGAACCCAACGTCGACTTCGCGTGACCATTCCCCTGCCACGGTGGATTTGGGAGGAGCTGGAACGGTTAAGCAGCTTTAACACTGGGATCACATTTATGTCGATCCCCAGCCACGTCGGGATATTGGGCCATGGGAAGGCAGACGCTGCGGCGAAGCTTGCTGCGTGTGAGGGGAGGCCGCTATCAGTTGATGGACCTGCTCGAGATCTCCGGTCATAGATATCGACGTCCGCGAAGCGTGGTAAAGCGTGTTTGAGCAGCATGTGTATCGATTCAGGGAGATCAAGCCCGAACAAGCTTGCTGGGAGTGCTTCCACCACAGAAGCCGCTGTCAGTACATGGCGCTCTGTAGGCTTCGGCAGGGTCATATTATTTAGCGCACTCGCTTTACGTGACAAGCCAGGATGTGCCTCAGTGTGTCAGATAAGCGGACTGACGGTCTGTAGAACACATTCCCGTGCATGCCGCTTTTATGAAGCGAAAAGGCGACGCCGTTTATTCGCCAGCGTACCTCCCTCGGCACATTGGTCGTGACCCCTGCTGGGAAATCACGAACGCAAATGTGCTTGGTATTTTTAGCAAACACTGGTATCGCCATCCTTTGTACTCGACCCAAAGTGTAAGCACACCAGCGGAACTGGTTAATGATAGCTGACAACACATTTATAGCCTGATACTGCATGCGCAGATGGCTGTTTTCGAGCGAGCGCAAAATGGCCTCGACGCGGACGCGCCCCAGACTACGCAAACCCCGGACCACCACCTACTGAAAGCTGGTCCCGCTGAAGGACCCGGGGTTAAGATATGTCTGGTCAGAGAGAGGGGAAATATATCTGGCATCACGACGTCAGGCCATGGACGGCATGTGGGACGTGGAACATTGGTTAACGGGATTTACACAAGTAAAAAGTAGTCCATGCAACGTGATTATGAATTGGTCTGTGGGTAGTGAGAAGTCCGTGGCCCCTATGGTTTTGGTGTCATCATAAAGCGCAGATTTCGCCGAGTATGACGCCATTTATTAAGTGTGAGGTAGGCAGCCGAACAGATTTCTCCCCAGTTTAGAAACGCTTTCACTTTCGAGTTACCGCCCACTCTCACCACGCACTCCTGGCCTTTATTCCGGGCCCGCGTCGCGTGCCGTAAATTTGCATGGCCATGTAAAGACAGCAGCAGTAAATCGAAATAATCCATGAATACTGTATGCTGCGTGCAGGTTAGTCTGTATCTACCCACGTGGTTAGTCGCGCGTGTAATGCGTTATCAGGTAGTGCCACTGTCGCCCATCTTAAGACGCAACGTGCTATGACGTCTGTCGATTTTGCCGTCAAGAAGCTTCACAACACTCTCAAGGCATCGCGCTTTGAGGCGTTGGATTTTCAGAGCTCCTCATTGCCCCACTTTTTCCTCCCCGTTTTACACAGACTCGTCGTTTGTGACGGAGGCGATCAGTTCCGTTTTCAGAATTGCCTGAGCCGCTGTTGGAAATTGTTCGCTACCCAATCCGCGCTCATGACCTAGGTTACGTCCGTCGGGTGATCTCGGGTTGCCGGTGACGGCGGCGTCGGCGGCCGCTGCGACCGGGCTGGTGACCTCCTCAGCGCCGCCCTGCGGTGGCCGACGGCCGCGCCGGGCGAGTCCATCGCACCCGCCGCGGGGGGAGGCCGGCGGCGTCGAATCAATACCAGCGGAAAGCCTAAAATTAGTATCTTACGTACGCGAGAGCGCGCGCCTGGCAGTGGCGGGCGCTCCGTAGTGCCGTGCCCCACATAGTCCACGCACATTGCGCGTGCGTGCGTGGCGTGCGTGGTGGTGAGCATTGCGAAGGGACTGTCTCTGCGGTGAGTAGCCGAGAGGGGCGTCCGGCGCGCGGCGGCCGGCCGCGGCGGCACGTGCGCGCCACCCGCGTCACCTGTGCCCGTTGGCGGCGCGTGACGCCGGCGGCCTCGCGGCGCACTCCAGCGAGCGCGGCTCCGCACCTGCCGGCCGTGGCTCGGGCCGTGCGCCGCGAGGGCGCCGCGCAGTCGGCAGGCGCGCCGAGTGGCGGCTGTCGCCGCTGGCGGGGGTCATGGGGCGGGGGTCGCGCGAGCTGACTGGGCCGCCGAGCACGCACGACCTTGGACCGTGGAGTGAGATTCAAAGGTCAGCAGAGCGCTGTGCTTCGGGCGGCTGGCGGCGATTGGACGCCGCCGGGTGGCGTCGGAGGGTCGCAGCCTGGTCACGGGGCACGCCGGCGGTTGAGCCGCTCCGATGTGTAAGGTCCCCCACCCCCTCCTTTCGGGGGCGACCGTGCCGGCACTCTGGTCGTCAGAGAGGCCCTGCAAGCCACCCGGGCCCCAGGCGGGTGCGGGGCAGGCGCGTCCTCCCCGCTTATCGATCGGCGTCAGTGGCGTCACTGCCGGAGCCGGAGCCCCTGGCCGGCCGGGCGACCCCGAGGTGCTCCGGCAGCGACCGGCCGGCATGTTCCGGCCTGGCGGACCCCGGACGGCCGATGACGCGTTACAATGATGCGTCTGGGTTGAGCGGGTCCCTCAGCCCCAGTCGTCGGCCAGTCTGCGGGTTCGGGCGGAGGGTACTGCTGGGTGGAGCGGGTCGGGGACGGAGAACGGGTGGTCCGTGTTCCGGCTGGAGGGGGAGGGCGGGGCCCGCTCTTGCGTCACCGGCTGACCTCCGGACGCCAGAGGCCGCTCTGCGACGCACGTGTGACCTCGAAAAACAATTGTACAAACCCCCGTCGCTGAGGCGCGATGCGTGGACAGCGTGTCGTTTGCGGAGGCGTGCGTATGCCGCGCGCCGGACGCAGCGATTATTTGTGCATCGGCGCCCGGCGCTCGTCCGCTGGGAAGCGTTGCGCAACGGCGATTGCGGTGTCGCGGTTCGTGAAGCGCTGTGGACCAGTGTGGCCGGTGGCCGCCGTCCCGTCTGGCTGGCTGATATTCACGATTGGCCGAGAGCGGCGGCGCGTTATCGCGACTTAGACCGGTCCCTGTCACGGGGGCTTGGCCGGCCCGGCCTCCCACCTGGTGGCCCGCTGCCCACCGCGGCCGCGCGCTCCGGCGCTGCTGCACGCCGGGGCGGAGGCGCGTCCGCCCCGGGGCTGGTGTTCCCCGCCGCCGCGCCGCGCCGTGCCGCACCGCGCCGCCGTGGCCTTGGCTCGCGCCGCGCCGCCCGCCCGGCAGCTGGCCGGTGACGTCACTCGTGATTCAGCGCGCCGCGCAGTCAGCTGGCGCAGCGGCCGGCGGCGTCGCCGCGGGCCGGGCTTCGATCGGCGCCGGCGCCGGCCCGCCCCGGCAAGGTCGCGTGAACCGGGGCAGGTGCGCCGGGCCGGCGGGCTCCTGCGGACGGCTCGACTCTGCCCCGCACCGCCAGTCCCGCCTTACGTCGCAATGGGTCCACTCGTGGGCGAAATATTGGCACGCCCGTTTTTTCTCAAAAAGTCAAAATTTCTAAATGAACGCCAAATGTGAGAAAATATCCCGATAGATCCCTCTTCAAAATTTCAAAAAATCCCGTATCGTAGAAATCCAGTATACCTATGCTGAGATCCTAACAATGTCCCGGTATATTGTTAGAGAATATTGGCACGTCTGCCAGGTGGAAAGTGCCTGTCAGACAGGTCGTCCTGCTGGTGCCTGGTGTTTGTTGGAGACGTTTTCTCGGAAAGATGTCAACAACCCTGGATTTTCGGAGTTGTGCTCTTGCTGTGCTTCTGTGGTTGGAATGTCCTAACATTTTGAAATGTTTGTATCGGAATCAGGGTTTGTTAGTTTTCGAGCTTCTTCCGCCTTTTTGCATGGTTGAGTTGCTTGGGTTACACTAAGTTGTGGTGTAATGCTGACCTGATGCTCGCTCATCCCATCACCATATTAAAGTAAACGGGGCGTGAACCGGTATCAACCGCGACCATTTGATAAACTTTATATGAACGTGAAACATTTCCAGCTGTATTCAGCATCAACCTATTTCGTAAATCACCTTAAGATCACAGAGTAAACAAGTGAATACAACTTGATCAAAGTGGACAGAGAACATCATACCGAAGTTACGTAACATGGGACGACACGATATTGGTACCCCTCTACGTGTCCCTTTAGTAACCACCAGTGCAGTGGTGGGGCCGACCTGCCGCGCCGAGCAGCAGGCGGCCTGTTTAGTAACCACCAGTGCAGTGGTGCGGCCGACCTGCCGCGCCGAGCAGCAGGCGGCCTGTTTAGTAACCACCAGTGCAGTGGTGCGGCCGACCTGCCGCGCCGAGCAGCAGGCGGCCTGTTTAGTAACCACCAGTGCAGTGGTGCGGCCGACCTGCCGCGCCGAGCAGCAGGCGGCCTGTTTAGTAACCACCAGTGCAGTGGTGCGGCCGACTTGCCGCGCCGAGCAGCAGGCGGCCTGTTTCCCGCTCCCCGGACCGCCGGCGTTACCGAGCGCCGCGCGCTCCAGCGCCTGCATCAGTTTGATGAAAGCCTAGCTTGCCAGGCTTGAAATGCTTTGTTTTGATAGTAAGTTTGTTGCATGTTCGAGTCATTTATTGCAACCGTCCTCCAAAAGTTGTCAGAAGTGACCCAGCTATTGATCAGTGGTTGCCATTGTCAGTTCATGCCGATCAGTTCATCAACTCATCAGCTCTTGGCTACCATCAGTCAACTTTTTATGAAAGTTTGTCTTCTTGAATCTTTTAAAACAATAATCCTTAAACAGGTAATTAATAGAATGCATTCTCTTAAAAGAAACTAGAAACCGAAATCTGCCATATGGTTGTTTAAAAAATCGATTAAACATGTAACTATCTATTTGTCGGGTCAATGAGATAATAGTCTGGGTGACCTGTAATGACACAGTTGCTTTTCTAAAATCGCACCAATTTCAAAAGTTGGAAAACTCAACTTTTGATTTAGCTTTAAATTATCTTGCTAAGCTCCTAGGCTCCCCAAACCCACCGGGCTGGGTCCTCCGTATTGGCAACCCCGATGTTCCAGTGAATCCGACCTGGCCTCTCCTGATCGAGACGTGCTTATGACCTGTGTCATTCACCACGCCGACTTCCGATTTTCGTGTGAAAGGAAAAAAGCCTCAGTCGCGCGACGTCTCCTCCTCTGCACATGGCTTGGAGTGAACGTGTCAACTATACAGAACCCGCGTGCCACTACCACCACGTTGGACGTGGCGCGCGCGTTCGGCTGGGTTGGGTTGAGCCGAGAGTGTACGGCGGCTCGACCGCAGGGCCGGGCGGTGCACGGCGTCCGTAGTCTGCAGCGGCGGCGGCGGCGGCCGAGTCCTGCCATCTGCGCCGGGTCGTTCTCCCCAGACGTGGGCGGCGCCCGGGGCCGTGACCGCCGCTCGGCCGGCCGCCAGTGAAGTCAGTCCGCCACTGGCCGGGACCCTAGCGCGAGCGCTGGAGGCGCGTGCGCAGGCGCCCTGGACCAGTGTCGTGCACGGATGCCGGGGTACTGGCGGCGACGGCCCAAGCTCTGTCCCCTATTTAAAGGAGCTCTTCGCCCCTTTTGTTGTACGTTTTAGAGCGGTGAACCGTAACGAGTTCTGTGCTGTCGCATAACGGAATGGTGACTTGGTATTTTGAAAGTCGATAGCTTCGCATGAAAACTTGGGAACTTACTCCGCCATCTGGGCCCAAGAGTCTGGCCGTTCGGTCGTTATTCTTAAGTTGTAATTTTAATGAAGAGAAACTGGAACTGATTTGGCCAGCTGGTTCAGCGAGTCGGGTCATTCAGTCGATATTTTTATGTATCAATGATAATGAACAGAAACTGATTTCGTCAGGCCTTAAAAAAGCTGGTTCCGTCCATCGATATTTTTAATTATCTACCCTGGCTCTCAGGTTTGTGAGTTTTCGTCCTCCACTCACCAGCGACTGTAGCGGTCGACCATGGTCAGCGGCCTCGGCGGTCAGTCAGTCGGGTCTGACCTTGCTGTAGTTGTGGTTAGGTGACAATGCCCGGGTACATGCCGTCTGCACTGGCTGGGTGGGTGTGCTTACGATCAGGTGACAGCGATCAGCCCCCCCCCCCCCCCCCACACACACACACGCCGAATTAGAGGCTCAGAGAACGGCGAACATGGCACGCAGCCAAAAGCGCCCACGACCTTGGGTATTATTATGTGCGAGGCTCCGGCTGCCAGAATGTGTTTGGCCTTGATTCTCGAAAGCACGCACGTGTGGCCGTTTGTGCGTCCCATGTGTCTCGGAAGTGGGGTAGTCAGCAGGTGCGGTGATGTTTGTGCCCTCACCGCCGGCCGTGCTGCTCCTCATGTTGTCATTGGCGTGATCTGCCATATGTTATGTCATGAATGTCATGATCTGCGTGACGAACATCGGACATACGCAGAAATCTGGTATATTTTGAGGAGTATGTCGATAGTAAATTGCTCCTTTTGCTGAGCGGAACGCTTACGGAGTTGCGGGCGAGCGCCCCACTGGGCTCTGGAAATCCATCAGGCCAAATTGACTCGACACGTCTGGCTTTGCAAACACAAAACAAACACGAAACCGCCATTTGGCGTCGCAAAGCGCGAGCCTCGATCTGTAGCTGAGGCGGGTCTGACAGGGGCACGGGAATCCCGGACCGCCGACACCGGTGTGTCGTGCCGTGGAGCCGCCGGCGCCGTCCGCTGCCCAGGTCACCAGCGCGCCGCGCGCCGCCCGGCCTGACGCCTGACGCGTGTGCCCGCCGCCGCAGGGACGATGCCGAGCCCGGCGCGCGCCAGCTGATACATGAGGACCCGCCAGAGTAACCGGGCGCGCGCCAGCAAGCCGCGCGCGTCGCCGGCGGTGCGGCGGCCGGGTCGGCCGCGCCGGCCGGCCGTGCTGCCGCCGCGGCCGCCGCGCCCGGCCGGCCGCGCGCGCATCGGCCGCCGGTCGGCCCAGCAGAGCCGCCGTGCGCGCCACGCCTCGGCCGACAGCTGCAACGTGAGTGTGCGGCCGAGCTGGCCGGCCCCGTCGCCGCTCCCAGCGCGGTGTCCAGCTGGAGGGCAGACCGGTGACGGCGGGTGCTGACCTGCGTCCGGCGTTAGTGACGGCCCTTAGCACGGCTCCGTCCGTTGTGCGCTCCCCGCTTGCGACCGCGGTGGTGTGCACGCGCTGTTCGCTGCTGACCCGAGGTGCCGTCGTCGCCAGGAGAACCTGGATCCGACGCCGCCCGAGGGCTTCACCAGCCTGAAGCCGGGCCCGCCGGCGGCCGATGCCGGTGCCGAGGAGCAGCTCATCAGCTCCAGCGTGGCGCGGCCGGCGGCGCGCCTCCCGCTACAGCAGGTCGCCCCGGCCCAGCACAATGCTGCCCTCTTCTCGCCCATCTACCCGGCCGGCGAGCTCAGCGCGCTCTCGGCGCAGTATGGTGAGCTCTCACCGCCCTCTCGGTGCAGTATGATGAGATGAAGAGTGGGACGGCCGGGCTCATGGCCTAGCACGTTGCGGGGCGAGAAAAGGACGTTTGGGCGGCAGCCATGACGGGGGGGGGAGGATGTGCCGCGCGGCCGGCCTGTCAAGTATTTGCGCACTCTGTTGTATCCCTGGCATTCGCTGAATGTCTGTTGCAGCTGTGCGCGTCACGTGCGTGCACGTGCAGCCGGCCGTGAGGCGGGTGGTGTGCGTTCCGCGCCGTGAGGGCCGCGTGTGACGTCGCCTCCGCCCCGCCAGGCTCGCTGCTGGCCGAGCGGGACGAGGCCGGCCTGGACGGCTCGGCGCTGGCGGTGCCGGAGAGCGCGGCCGAGCTGGCGGGTCCGGCGGCACTGCTGGCGGCCGAGTCGGCGCCCTACGCGGCCGAGGCCGAGCAGGCGGTCGACGGTGGCGTTGCATGGCAGCAGGCCGAGGAGGAGGCCGCCGCTGAAGTGTGGGACCAGTTCAACACGTATTACTTTATCAAACACTTGCCGCCGCTGACGCCTGAGATGCGCGCGCGCCACCCGGCGCTGCCGCTGAAGACGCGCAGCAGCCCCCAGTTCACGCTCGTCCTGGACCTGGTGAGTGTGCTGAGCCTGGGCAGGGGCGGGGGCACCAGTCGGACAGCAGGGGCCGTCAGCCAGGGGAACTGGTGACGTGGAGCCTCATTGGGGCAGTGTGGGGGGGGGGGGGGGGGGGGGCGGTGGTACGGTAGAACCGGATGCGCGTTGTAACGCTTGTCGGTTGTCATCGAGGGGTAGCCTGCCGGATTTGTAGTCGCATTGTTGCAAAAGTTCTTTCAGATGGCTTGTGGGGCTTGAATATCATGCGTTTTTAATTCGTTTCGCTCTGAAGGGATGTAAGACCACGCTTTAAAATCCTTTGCTTTGTTACGTACAGATGCGGTAGGATGCATCGTTCATCAATGTGGTCAGAAATATAACTCGCCCACGCAGGACATTCTGCTTTGCGTTGACTCTGAACCGGCCCAGCAGTAGCGCCGTTTCCTGCAGTGCAGATATCGTCACACCGGGCAGCCGGAGCCGTCTACGGCTCAGTCCAACATCCGTGCCACGGCCACGCTGGTCAGGTCGCCGCCGTGCCTTTGCAGGACGAGACGCTGGTCCACTGCAGTCTACAGGAGATGGAGGACGCGTCGTTCAGCTTCCCCGTCCTCTTCCAAGGTGTGACGTACCAGGTGTTTGTGCGGACACGGCCCTACTTCAGGGAGTTCCTCGACCGTATGTCGGCCCTCTTCGAGGTCATCCTCTTCACCGCCTCCAAGAAGGTGTATGCCGACAAGCTGGTGGACCTGCTCGATCCCCATCGGCAGTACATCAAGTAAGTGTACTGCATGGCCGCCGCTCTGTCTGTCCGTGCTGGCCTGGGCGGCCGGGACATTGAACGGGGTGAGGCGAGGGGATGACGGACAGTCTACGGTGTGGCGCCGGCGGTGGGGGTGGAGCCGGCCTCGGGGAGCGGTGCGGCAGCTGCCCGGGTGTAGGCCGGCGGTGGCGCTGCAATGCCACGTCGAGCCGGCGGCGCGCCGCCGGTGGCGTCTTGAAGTCACCGCGTCGGAATTGTTCACCGTACCCTGGCTAACACGTCTGATGTGGACGCCCGGTCCGTGACGCCCGCTGGTCGACCATTCTAAGCGGTCTGCTGGCAGTGCGGTGTCGCCTGCCTGACGTCATACCGTGCGGCCTCGACACCGGCCAGCACGGGTCACGGCCACGTGTCGGTGTGTCAACACTGGAGTGCCGTGTCAGCGTGTCACGGCCACGTGTCGGTGTGTCAACACTGGAGTGCCGTGTCAGCGTGTCACGGCCACGTGTCGGTGTGTCAACACTGGAGTGCCGTGTCAGCGTGTCACGGCCACGTGTCGGTGTGTCAACACTGGAGGGCCGTGCCAGCGTGTTACGGCGCGTTGACCTTTCGCCAGGTACCGTCTGTTCCGAGACCACTGTGTCTGCGTGCACGGTAACTACATCAAAGATCTCAGCATTCTGGGCCGCGACCTCTCCAGGACCATCATCGTCGACAACTCGCCGCAGGCCTTTGGCTACCAGGTACGTTGGTGCTGCCCTCTGTACTGTCTTGAGGCATGGCTCGCCATCTCAAGGGATGCTTAGGGGGAGGCAGGCACTGGAGCGAAAGGACGTCAATTTTCCGTGCGTCCTTAGACCTCGATTAGCAAAGGAAGGCCTGTCATCTATCTTGAAGTCACTTGCCGTCCTGCCGAAGCGATTTTAATGGCCTCGTGGATACTCTCAATAAATGGGTGAGCTTTCTAAGTTTGACACAGCCAGAAGTGGGGATCATGTTACCTTTCCTTGGCCTTGCATGGTAATGACAAGGTGCTGTAATTTTTCGGGACTGAGGAATAACAAATGTGACCGCTGGTTATTTGTTCTTACCATAACTGCGCTGTATGTATAGCAAAGTTGGTCTTCGTCCTTGGACGTAGGGAAAATACTGTCTAAATAATTGTTCGGAAACGAGCAGAAAATTGGTTTGTAAAACCTCTCGGCCGCCGATAAATCGTGAACATCCGAGGTACGGTCAGTTTTGCTCTTTTTTGCCAACCGTAGCGTCATGACCTAAATACCATAAGGGATTCACGTGACTATACTTTCCTTTTATGGTGTAACTGTCAAAGGGAGATTTTTGCACAATTGCATCGTACAGGAAGCCTATGGAAGAAGAGCTGTAACACTTGGGTTAGGAGTTTCTTCCATAACTTGGTAGTAATTCAAAGGATCTTAATGGAGGCCCCCTGCCTTCAAGTGCAAATATGTCTGTGTTGCACACATCATCTTCGCCACGATTTGCGAGCCTCGTCACATGCGCGTCAGCCACCCACGTCTTCTGTGTTCCAGTTCGAAAACGGGATCCCGATCGAAAGTTGGTTTTTCGACAAAGAGGATAGAGAGCTACCAAAGCTCATACCCTTCTTAGAATATCTACATGCTCTGGTGAGTATGGCCGAGACCAACAGAGCTTATCGGCATCGTATTTGGGGCAGATGCTGCTGTGTGCGTAGCGCACTGATGCTGTGACGGGGTATCGTCACCACACATTGTGAAAAGGCGAGACTCAGTCCGAGAACGGAGGGGAGCAAGTGGTGACAAGTGAATGCTGTGCCGTGCGCGTCGACGCGTGTGGTGTTGTCAGCTGTAGTGTGACGGGTGTGGTGTTGTCAGCCGAAGTGTGACGCGTGTGGTGGTGTCAGCTGTAGTGTGACGGGTGTGGTGTTGTCACCTGTAGTGTGACGGGTGTGGTGTTGTCAGCTGTAATGTAACGTGTGCGGTATTGTTAGCTGAAGTGTGACGTGTACGCTGTGGTCAGCTGTAATGTAACGTATGCGGTGTTGTCAGCTGTGGTGTGACGGGTGTGGTGTTGTCAGTTGTATTGTGACGGGTGTGGCTTTGTCAGCCGTAGTGTAACGGGTGTGGTGTTGTCAGCTGTAATGTAACGTGTGCGGTGTTGTTAGCTAAAGTGTGACCGAGGTGGTGTTAGCTATAATGTAACGTGTGCGGTGTGGTCGGTCGTGGTGTGACGGATGTGGTGTTGTCAGCTGTAGTGTGACAGGTTTGGTGTTGTTAGCTGTAGTGTGACGTTTACGGTATTGTCAGCTGTGGTGTTAAGGATGTGGTGTTGTCAGCTGTAGTGTGACGGATGTGGTGTTGTCAGTTGTAGTGTGATGGGTGTGGTGTTGTCAGCTATAGTGTGACGGTGCGGTGCCGTACCCTGCTTGCCGCTCACCGGTGTCCCGCGGTTGGAGTACACCAGTGCCCGTGCCGGCTGGCGGTCGTGCCCTGCCTGTCGCTGACCGGCGCTCGCCGTCTGTCGCAGAACGAGGACGTGCGACCTCACATCCGCGACAAGTACCAGCTGCACTCTCTGCTACCGCCCGATTAGCCGGCTCCAGACGCCGCGCCGCCGCACCCGACGCATCGCTGAGTTTTAATGCTCGTTTTACTCTACGGCAAGTGCGCCGCGCTGCGCCAAGTCAGCCCCGACGTCGGCGGCGAACCGCGCCTCGTCTGCGCTCGGGGCGAGAGGAGTCTGCGCCTTGTTGGCGGCCGCCGCGGACGCGCTTCGACGTCGGCCATTTTGAACCGTTTGAGCCGCCTGCATGCTCTGTTGTATTTTGTCACATGTACAAACTGTTGATTCGTTGTTCACTTGTTTGGCGCGCCGAGCCCGCTGTTGTGCGAAGGCGGCCAGGCGATCGGGCCGGAACGGCGACAAGTGTCCGCGGCCACGGGCGCCCACAGTCAGGGGTGCCGGCCGGAGGCGCGTGCGAGCTCGACCAGCCTCCGCCTGCTCTCTCCCCGCTCCCCTCCCCGCTCGCCGCGGCCACTGTACATAACATCACTTGTTGTCATTGCATGTTAAAAACGGCGTTGTTGGCACATGCTCGAACACTTGTACAATATTTTAGCAAATAAAGTGGCCGATTTTATGCTCTGTGGTTTCGTGGTCGCTGTGCAGTGATGGTGAGTTGACGTTTTTGTCTGCATCATTGAGCTCGTTTCTTTCTCTCAGGGATTTCGTGCTGGATGGGTCCTGGTTTGGGTTCTTTCAGGTCAAGGGACTAGCGTATTGCTATGTTTGAGCCATGGGCAAACACCGCAGCTAATATGACCGTGATGTTGATTATCCGTGGTCAGTGGTCATCAGCTTGTCGGGCTGTGTCATCAACGTGCGGATTCGACTGATCAGTTGTATCACATAGCGCTTGTCAGCGGATGGCTGAGCTCAGGCTGCCGTCAGACTTCGTCATCCCAAGGACCGTCCTATGCCTCAAACCGCCTGCAGTGGACGCCTCTGCCTTCCGCAGCATCACAATTCTCAAAACGCCTCCCCCTCCCCCGATCAGGGAGGGCTCGTGTTCAGTAACACGCGCTCAATATTTGTACTCACCCCAGTATCCACAGACCCACTTCCAACCGGGTACCAAGCTCGAATGCTTCATCAGAACACCATACTGGGCCGGCTGCTCCTTACGTTTATTCCGCCTCATCTCATAATGATGTACCTGTATAGCACCACACAGCATAGTACAGCCACCTCTCCGTATCCGCTCAAGGCGGCCTCCTGCTCAGAGCTGCTGTTGGCAGCGGCAATGCATGGCTGTTCTTAGGCTGTGAATACCGTGGTGTCTCGGTACACTGTGCGTGACGTTAGCGGTAGTTCAGTATTCACGAGGAAAACATCACCGAAAACGGCATCGGTCGGTCCGCGCCCGACCGTCGCTCTGGATGCCACTCCTGCCACTTCATCACTGTCTACTATCTGCCGCCCTGGTTGCTCGGCTCCAACGAATGAGAGGCTATTAGTGCGGCGTTCACATTTTCGGGTTCGCGGATGCTGGTTGAAATGGCTCGGCGCGCCGATGTCATCACAGGCCGTCACTCGGACCACGGTTCTCAATGTCCCCGGTGCCATCACAGGTCGCTAAGCGGGCCGCGGGTCTGGCGCGCCGGTGTCGTCGCAGGCCGTTACTCGGGCCACGGATCTCAATGTCCCCGGTGCCATCACAGGTCGCTACGCGGGCCGCGGGTCTGGCGCGCCGGTGTCGTCACAGGCCGTTACTCGGGCCACGGATCTCAGTGTCCCCGGTGCCATCACAGGTCGCTATGCGGGCCGCGGGCCTGGCGCGCCGGTGTCGTCATAGGCCGTTACCCGGGCCACGGATCTCAATGTCCCCGGTGCCATCACAGGTCGCTACGCGGGCCGCGGGCCTGGCGCGCCGGTGTCGTCACAGGCCGTCACTCGGGCCACGGATCTCAGTGTCCCCGGTGCCATCATAGGTCGCTACGCGGGCCGCGGGTGTGGCGCGCCGGTGTCGTCACAGGCCGTCACTCGGACCACGGTTCTCAACGTCCCCGGTGCCATCACAGGTCGCTACGCGGGCCGTGGGTCTGGGCGTGCAGATGCTATCACAAGCCGTTACTCGGACCACGGATCTCGACAGTGGCCGATTAGCCTCATTAACTGGCGCACCGGCCGACGGCCGCCAGATCAAGGCATCGCCCGCAGCCGCTGGCAGCCCCCAGCCAGTTGCCCTAACGTCCGGTTATGGTAGTGCAGAAATAAAGCACTAGTGCACAAACTGAATGGCAATTACGACGCGACCGCTTGTCACAATGCCTTCCGCTCGGAAAGCTCAAACCCCTGCCTATGGGGGGGAGGGGGTATGCAAAGGCCGTGCGTTCTGGCTATTGGCTCTCGTGTTTAGTCAGCCACTGGTTATTCAGCCCCGCGGAAAGCACTTCTGCCTTCTTTCTTGCAGGTGCTCCTTGTGGCGATGGATGGTAGGACTGTAGTGTTAGATGTTAGGCAAGTGGTAGGTGTTGTACGGTACGTGGTGGATGCTGGGTAGGTGGCAAGTGGTGTGTGGGATGAGCGAGCGACAAGGTGGAAGGCATGTGAGCGGCGTCAATGCATTCTCGCGCGGAATTAAAAGCACATTACACCTACACATCCGTGTATTGTCCAAAAAATGAGACATCAGATAATTCAATACGACAGTTCATGGACAAATCGTCTGGCAAGCGACCGCCTTTCGCTGCTCGTAGGGCGGTAATGCACATCATACACTACCGTCGATAAGTAACTATTTAGTCCAAGCCATAAATGATGTTGGTCCGTCATTATTGAAAACAAAACTATGCAGAATGACATTCTCAGTAACAGGAGACGAACAACAGCCTGTTTTTGACAACGATGAGCTGATGAGCAATGGGCGGTCACAAGGCGAAGTCTACGCACGCCCGGCTAGCGCGGTGATGCCTGCTCACCCCCGCCTAAGACAAACGAGATTACATCTCCAATGTTTGCATATCATAATCACACCATTGAGGTCGCTACTTCCGTTTGCGGCCTTTCCGTTTGCCCTTGCACTCTTGCTTTTCAATGATCCTGAAAGCAAAAGACGACAGCTTTAGCCGTCGGATACAAGACACAAACTATGACCGCACAACCAAAAACATCGCAAATGGCAACACGCATGATCCAACATTTACGATCAAATAACCCCACGCATGGTCCATAACTGCGAAACAGCTTGGAGTGTGCCCCAGAACGTTCCACATCCCTGCAGTCGCGTTGTTCACACCAGTTGGGTCGACGGCGGCAGGCGTTTGACGGTCAGCACACATCCACAGCATTCGTACCTGTACTTGCTCGGGTACATCTGCTGCTGCACTAGCTCTCCTAGCAGACCCTCGGCGGCCAGCATTGAGAGGTAGGTGGTGATGAACGGGTCGTAGTCGTGCGTGCGGCGGCTCGCCTCCACCTGAGGACGGCCAAACGACACGGTCGGCTCGCTCCGGTCCCGGCGGCGCGGACCCGGCCGACCGCCACAGCACGGTCGGCCGGCCGCTGAGGACGGCGCGGTCCCACCCCCTGCCCTCCCCTCCAACACAGCAGGCCAGAACCAACACCATCAGATACGGCACACTCCTCCCCCATACACGCCGACAAACCAGCACGCTTCCCCTCACCGGTCCGCGATCACCAACAACGCACCGCCCGGCGACCCACCGGCTGCGGTACGAGCTCCCAGCCACACCCGCGCTACACCGGGGCCGCGCCGCCGCCGCGCACCTGGTACTTTTTCCGCTTGTCGAGCTCGTCCCGCAGCCGCTCCTCCAACAGCCGGGCATCGCGCTGCAGCAGACTGTGGACGGCGCCGCGCCGCTCAGCCGGCCAGCGCGCTGCCGCGCGGCGCAGTGCGGAGTCGGTGGTGGCGGCGGCGGCCGACGGCTCGCGCGCCGCGTGCGCCCGAAGCTCGGCCGACAGCGGGCGCGCGTCGGCCGCCTCCTCCGGCTCGCGCTGTCCGCTCCTGTATAGCCACCAGCTGTCGGCAGGTGGGTGGCGTCAGACGAGAGGGAGACGTCGGGCGCAGGTCATCGGCCGCCTCCCGCTCAGCACAGTGTGCGAAAACAGGACAGCGCGAGCAGCTAGGGCTGAGAGTCGTCATCAGGATGCACAGCTCCTGCACTTCGGTAATGTGCGACAGCATATGAGCTCTCACTAACTGGCGCGAGAAACGGAAAACTGTTGACTTCAGATTTCTTCCAATGAAAAGCAGCGTTACTTGCGTTCAGGCACGTGCACGGAAACGACCAAAACATCTCCAACAATCTGTTGTTGTCGCCTCGCACGGAACCAACGCAAATGCTAGCAAATCTCAACCAACTCCAGAGGGCATCCTTCCACGGCCTCACTCAGTCCTCCCCCTCTTTCCGCTGTTCCCGCCTTTCGAGATCCCTCATATGCCCCCCCCCCCTCCCCCCCCCCCCACCTCCCCGGTCTTCGTCCCCCACTTCCCCGTTCCCGGGTCCCCGCCGTCCGTTCCCCCGGCTCACATGTCGGCTTTGAGTGAGCTGAGTCGCCGCGTCAGCGTGATCCGGCGGTCCGACACGACGCTCATCAGGTTAAAGCGGATGTCGTGGTACGGCTGGCCGCTGGTGGCGATGCCCAGCCGGTCCGAGATGACGCGCCGGAATTTGTCCGTCCACTCCTCGCCGGCCGCCCACGGTCCTGACGGACGCCAGGCAGGCGTTCAGACAACCGAGACGTGAGACGGCCGCCGCCATACGCACTTCGCGCGCATACCGAGGAGCACGACAGGGAGTCGAGCTACGCCGCAAAGCGCGAGTACACCACAGCGGAACTGGGTACACGGCGGCGCGGCACAACACAATGCGGGAGCACCAAGTGCGTCGCAGTAGTGCACGGGTGCTCTGCAGTACACGGGGGCGCGCCACAACACACTACAGAAGCACAAAGTGCATCGCAGTAGTGTGCGGGTGCTCCGCAGGGTTGTTCGGTACACGACGGGGCGCGGGGTGCGCTACAAGACGCGTCACAGTCCGTCTCTGCGCCATCCTTTCGCCGCGTCCTCTCACCGTGGTCGATGGGACCGGGCTTGAGGCCGTCCAGCTCGAACAGGCGGCCGTTGATGGGCACGTAGCTGACGTAGTGGAAGGTCTCGGCGGCCGACCTGCCGACCGGTAGGCCGACGGCCGGCCGCTCCTGCACGCGGTGTGCCTGCTGCGCCGCGTGCGAGTTGTGGGCCCACGCCAGCTCGGCAGTGTTGCCGATGGCGAGGCCCTGGCGGCAGCGGCAGCGGCGGTGAGCGGAGCACAGACCGGCTGCGCTCCGGGCGAGGGAGGGGGAGAGAGCGGGGCGCCGCGGACCGTGGTCTGGCGAGGCTGGGCGAATGTGACAAAGTGAACAGACTTCAGTCAATTGAGTGGGGACCGTGGCACATCGGGATTGCAGTGCAAGACATAGTTTAACAGACAACATGAGTGAAAACACTGCTGTGCTATGCCAGGACATAATGCATCTACAGCAAGAACCTGAACTGGAGTCCCTAGGAACACAAATGACGTCGTGGACAATGAGGAGGAACCACTTATCACACGTGCCAATCCAGTTCATGAAAATAACCAATGTTGGAACAGCTGAATACTTACTTACCTTGTTCTCTGGATTCATCCCTTCCACATGGTGTTTGAAGTTGGTCAGAGTGGGGCCGAGGTCCACATCGCAGCAGTTGAGCAGGATTGAGACCAGAGCGTGAGTGGCGCAGCTGTTGGGAACCACCTGAAGCAGCAGCAGTTTAATGTGGCAGTAGGTTAATATAAATGTTAATGACTGGGCAGCCGGACTAACAGATCACAGCTCGGAAATGTCACGTATTACGAAAGTGCAGCCAAGCTTGCCGTGGAAAGCAAGTCTTGACAGCCATGGCGTGAAAAGGGCATTCCTCAAGATCACAGAGTATTTCCAGGACAAGCCACTACCTCTTCAGAAATGTCAAAACACATGGATGAAGTTGACACAATTATTCAAACGCTTCAGTAAACATCATGCTGCAATCTATGCATGTGAGGTGAACATACCTGTTGCGCAAAGAAGATACTATTGACCTCTTCTTCATCCATCAGAAAGCTGTCCTTGTCACAGGTCTGGCGCCGAGCGCGCCGCTCCTCCATCCAGCGAAACAACAGGATGTACCCAAACGTCTTTTCGTCGGCAGACTTGCTGATGTCATAAATCTCCTCCACCTGAAGTCCTTTGACACCAAAATCTTCCAACAGTAGAGTAAAGAGGCCTGCAATAAATGTTGATCAAGATGCATGTGACATGAAGATGACCAAAACGTGAAGGTAATCAACTTTTATCCAGTTTGGTATGGTACCAAATGGGTGGCTATGTATGCCCACAAATCTGTTGTTTTCACCTTTCCATCACATTGCTACCTTAAAATATTACTGTATCATGTTTGATTGCTTGACTGAAAACAGTGCATGCAGTGCAAAACAGACACTGATGGCTCATTCCAGCAGTCTTCCAACAAATTGTGACAGTGGTGTGGGAGCTAGGCCTAGGCTGGCATGGTGACTGAGTGTCTTTTATCATCTCTTGCTGCATGCCACCACAAGCCTTACTTTCTTCCCATGAGTGCTCATCAATCCCCATAGCTTGACTCAGTGATGACGGTCATAGATTGTGATGCTGCATTTTAATTATGAATGAGGTTGGGTGTGAGATTCTGTTCCCCCAATGAAAAATTTTCATTGCATGACCTTTTGAAGTGTGTGATCACAAAATCAGCAACCACCCACCACCATAGTGAGCAGGCAAAAGCACCACTGAACAAAATCAAAAGGAACAGACTGTCCTGGCAAACATAGTCAGCATTTGGCATGAAGTTATCTCTACTGAAGACAGGGGGAATGAGGCAGATCCAATGATGTTGAAGGAGCTGGAACAACAATGATGTCTTGGTGAGACTTTTTTCAGTGAAATCTCTAGAATAGTGTTGGCTGGTTTTGGTGCACTCTAAGGTGGCAGAGCCCATACAAGAGGGGGTGGGGGGGGACCTGTGCTGCACAGCAATAGTACATATTAATGCATAAAACAGGCCACATATGCATGGGATATGTGAAACTGCCTATGAGGCATAACACAAGTGACAAAATTGGCTATCCTGACTGGTTAGACAATGGACCCTAGTCACCATCAGATAGAAGACACCTGCTTTGCTGTGGTTCAGCTCTAGCCTCTGTGGAAAGCACGGTAACTGCAACAAATGTTTCCACCCTCTGTATCCATTGCACTGTCTTACAAGATTGGGACAGGTATGCTCATGAGAAAAGAGCCACAAAATGACTACAGCTGGGATACTGTCAGTATGGTTGCCTCTCACCTGGATCACTTTCCAATTCCATCCAGCCATCATATAGATGGCTCAAGCCCAGCAGCATTCTTGCAAGATGGTCAGATGCTGGCAAACACAAAAGGATATCAAATTAGGCTCTGCATAAAATGTTTATCAGTACTAGTAGGAAATGTGTCATGAATCAAGGGTATCTGAGCACATCTCCTGAGGTCCTATGACACATAACCATCCAAACTTGGATATGTTACAGAAGTTATTGGCAGGATCCTAAGTAGCAAGATCAACAATGCTGTGCAGCCTACCATCCATTATTATTTGAGCCAAGGCATAACAGTGATATTGATCCAGTTGTCATCTTGACATATTTGCTAATCAAAAGTATCCCATTATACAGGTGCCTTGCCTGCCTGTATAGGGCCAGCAAACCTACCTAGTTTGCTGGCTCCATTTGGCTGAGGCTAAGCATTAACAATGATGTATGCTAACTACATTTCTTTTCACCATGGCTCAGTGATCCAAAAATACCTGTAAGTCTCCACCAGAAGAGGTGATAACTGCACTCCATTTTTTCCAGATATCCAAATAGGGTAGGCCTTATTTGGCAGCAGCATAGCTACTGGCTTCACTTACACAAGGTCTAAGACTCCAATTCAAAATGTCATGAGCTGCTTGGGCTAGTATTATTTTGGCTGATTAAATTTGTTTTTTTAAACCCTTCAAACACCATCCAAAACTATAGCCAGCTCCAAGACAGGTACAATGTTATATGCCAGGAGTTGGAATATCTAGGTGGAATACTGGCAATGGGAAAATATTAAGGAAGCCCCTTCAATGTCTGGAGCCTTTTCATTAAGCAAAGGATCCCCCAACTTTTGTTTTATCAGCCCTGACAACTGTCTTGAACTGCCCTTTGGACAATATATGAGTATGGTGATGAATGCCACTCTGAAAAAAACTCCACCCTCTCTGCTGGATGCCTTCTTGTTGTCTGTTAAGCTTAACATGGAGCAAAATTTTGCTTAACTCAGTTCAAGCCAAATTATCCTGCTTTTTAAACACATTTTGCTTGAATCAAGCTTGGTTTTTGTGAAAAATTACCTCAGCAACATTATTCTTTGTTGAATTAATGGCTCTGTAATCACGAAAAATGGTGATGACCAATTGCCAGATTCAGCCCTTGGATTTACACTGTGTTCACAGAAACAGTCACCGGGATGTCTCTGCAGCCTTGGTCCCTGCCATACACAGAATGTTCAGCACAACTCTTCGTTTCTTGGTAGAGACAGTGGGTCCATAACATTGGCATTCTGACTGTTCTTTTTCGAAAAGCAGTAGCTCACGACCTGAACAGCAAATAACAGCCATCGCATGAAAAGGCCCTGGTCGAATGGCCCAAATCATGGCATCATTACTCAAACTACTCACTTCAAACTACCTATGGAAACTTACCAGATGAAGTACACTGGCTAAAGCGTCACCCAAACCCACAGAATCATAAATGTCGCTTTATCGTCCCATTTCTACCTCCAGAAACCCAAATTCCAGACTTCAATCTCCCGGCCTTCCACGCACTCCAACCCGTGTACTTTGTAATCAAACTCGTAGGCAAACATTTCAAGCCTTGTACTTTCAAGCATATCTAAAAATTCATAGATGTCCTCAGCTGTTTAAAATGACGTCATATAAATTCATGCGAATTTATATTTTTGTGGCTGTGCTTCCGGGTATATATCCACGCCCTCCAAATATGGCAAGCCTTTTTGCATTCGCAGGCTTTTCCCCTGTTTACGCACTGATAACGCTAGACGAGAGCTCTTCTCACTGTTGACACATTTTTCAATGTCCTTACCTTGCCTTACCTTACCTTACCTTACCTTATGTTGATTGGGAATTATAAAAGGCCACTAGGCCTGCAGGTCTTGGTCTCGTCAGGCTCCCGCCCAGTAACCAAACAGTCTCAAATTATGGGAAGATTCAGTGTGGGACGTCTTACATGTCAGCCCAGTGTATATCGAGCCTAGACTTGAACTGTTCAACTGAGGTTGACGACACGACCGGGTGTGGAAGAGCGTTCCAGTCGTTGACAACCCGCGTACTGAATGAGTTACGACGGACGGGAGTCCTAGCTCGAGGTTTTCTGAGTTTCCATTGGTGTCCTCTCGTCACCTCCGAGTTGTGCCTTGTCAGGAACTCCTCTTCCGACAGCGCCATACCTCCGTGAAACAGCTGGTACACTGTTACCATGTCTCTTCTACGACGATGATAGTACAGCGAGGGCAACTGAAGGAGTCTGAGCCTCTCAGAGTATGGCTGGCGCCTCACTTCATAGACAAGCCGGGTAGCTCGTCGCTGAGCCCGTTCCAGCCGCTTCTGGTCCAGTTTGCCGAACGGCCCCCAGATAACGTTGTCATACTCTATGTACGGACGTACTAAGATCTTAAAAAGCAATGGCAATGTGTGAGCATCGATATTGGCAAAAGACCGCCTCACGACCGCCAGCATGTGGTTGGCCTTGGAGATCGCTTCCGCCGTCTGCACGTGGAACTGGAGCCGGTAATCCCCGAAGATCCCGAGGTACTTCTCGGTAGACTCTACCGCGATTTCGGCGCCGTCCAAGAAGTACGCCAGCCCCGGGTTACACTTCCCGATGTGCATTATTTTGCACTTTGCTGCACTAAAGGGGAGCAGCCACTCCTTTGACCACCTGGTCAGGACGTCGAGGTCAGCCTGCAGAGGTGAGTTAGTCAGGGGCCTCGGGACACGACAGTAGACCTTGGTGTCTCCGCAAACATCTTGACCACGCTTCGCACTTGTTCTGGCAGATCGTTCACGAAAATTATGAAGAGCGTTGGTCCAAGTACTGACCCTTGCGGGATGCCGTTGACGACATCGGTCCAGTCCGACTTTGAGCCCTGGGCCCGCACTCTCTGCATCCGGTGAGTAAGAGAAGCCCTGATCCAGCGTAGCAAATTAACTCTCACACCGTAAGCATGGAACTTGAAGAGCAGGCGGTTATGGGGCACGGAAACAAATGCTCTGCTGAAGTCCAGGTACGCCACGTCCACCGGCTCCCCATCCTCTACCGCGGCGTTCCGATCCTCCATGACCTCTAGCAGCTGGGTGGTACAGAACCGCTTAGGGAGAAACCCATGCTGGGCTGCATGAAGAAGTCCAGACTCCGAGAAGTGATTAGTAGGGCATCACGGACGAAAGTTTCGAGTATCTTGAAGGGAATGGCAGTAAGGTTCTGTGGTGTTTATGGAGCTGGATCAGTTCGCGTATGGTCTGGTTCGGTGCAAACCATAAAACGCGTGGTAACGGTCAGTGGGGAAACTGTTCATTTATTCAGGGTCAAACAGGGGTTCATTTCATATGGTAGCCTGGGAGGGTATGATAATACAGGGGAATGTGAATTATTTTCATTTCGACGATACATAGACACTACATCCCTCCCCTTCTTCAGATGATTGCTTATACATAGTCCTTCATCCACGCGGGCTGGCGCCGCGCACGGTGACGCATGGTCGGGAACACACTGGCGCCAGGGACAACGTCGTGGCGTGGGAGGACGCAGTAGCGGCGCGGAGAGTAGGGGTGTGGCGCCGCATGGACTCGAGGATGCCATCTATCGCCTGTTCTTCGTCCTCTCCTTCGGAGCGATCTGCGTCCTGTCCATGGAGGTGCGGGCACGCTTTAAATAGCGACGCGTTTCTCGTCACCTGGTGACATCCACGTGATGCGGTGACCATGGTGCCTTGGATTCCAGTCACTTCGTACGGCGCTGGGCAGAACCGAGGTGTCAGCTTTCCCTTCTTAAATTCCGGGATCAGAACTTGGTCTCCGATTTGAAGATTCGTTGTCTTGGCTCCACGGTCACCTTGTTCTTTCATCTTTTTATTCGCGGCTGTGTCCGTCTCGCGGAGTCTTCCATCCTCCGGATGTGTCGTCATCGGAGACGGTGGCATGATCTTCACTGCGCGACCGTACAGTAGTTCAGCCGGGCTCTTCTGAGTAGTGGTGTGCGGTGTCGATCGGTAGTTTCGCAGAAACTTGTTCATTTCCTGCTTAATCGGGTGTTGCTCGACGACAGCAGCTTTCACAGCTTTTGATAGCGTTCTCATGAAACGTTCTGCCTCTCCGTTAGCTCTTGGCCACAACGGGGTGATCTTGTTTGAAGCCGATGTAGTTCGTGAACTGGGCGAAATCATGTCCATTGAACGGAGGTCCGTTGTCTGTTCTCATCACATCGGGAATCCCGAACATCGAGAAGATGTCGTCCAGGATGGGGATGATGGTACGAGCAGAGGTTGATTTTGTCGTACGGACAACCGGGAATCTCGAGTAGTCGTTGATTACAACATGGAGATATTCGCCCGGTGGAAAAGGTCCCCAGAAATCAGCAGACAGCTCCTTCCATGGTCCAGTTGGGAGCGGCGACATCTGAAGAGGTTCCTTCTGTCGAACTGGTTCGGTGACTTGGCATGCAGTGCAGGTCTTGATGGTGGCTTCCACTTGTGTATCGATGCGTGGGAACCACACTTCCTCTCTCAGGAGTTTCTTCGTCTTGACGATGCCTTGGTGTGCTTGATGGGCCAGGGCGATGGCCTTACTTTGCAGCGCAGCGGGGATGACCAGCCGATTTCCAAGAAGGATGACGGTGTTGTATTCTGAGACAGTCAGATCTCCATGGATGGCTGCGAAGCATTTCAGGGCGTCGTAGTCGACGTCGTCTTAACCGGTTTCTCGAGATCGGTGAGTGACAGTGTGCCACTGGTTCGACTTCACCAGCTCGAGGACCTTCTGCAGAGTGCCATCTCTTGCAGTGTAGGTCTGGATTTCCTCGAGAGTCATGGCTTTTGGTACACCAGAATTCATGACCAAGTTGATGAAGGCTTCCGTCTGATCGGACAGGGTGATTCCGTCGCTTGAATCGTTGGTTAGTGGATGGCGTGACATGTAGTCGGCTGGGTTGTCCTTTCCAGGTCGGTAGACGATTTCGAGATCGTACGGTTGCAGGCGCAGACCCCAGCGCTCGACCCTTGCAGGAGGGTTCGACGCGGGGTTGCTCCAGATGAGTTGCACCAGCTTGTGGTCCGTTACAACTTTCACCTTCTGACTGTGTATGTATAGGTGAAAGTGTTCGCATCCCCAGACGATGGCGAGGGCTTCTCGCTCGGGTTGTGAATACCGACTTTCCACGCTGGTCAGAGCACGACTTCCGTATGCGATGACCTTGATGTCCTCAGGATTTTCAGGCGTGGTCTGGCACAGGATGGCACCGAGTCCGTGCGGACTGACGTCTACGATGAGGCACGTATCCTTCTTCTGATCAAAGTAGGACATAGTTCCAGAGCTACTCAGAGCTTCTTTAAGTCGCTGAAAGGAGGTCTCGTGATGGCTGGTCCACTCCCAAGGGGTGTCTTTCTTGGTGAGGTCTCGCAGCGGGCTCGTGAGGTCGGCGTAGTTCGGTATGAACCGTGACGGATAGTCTGTCATGCCGAGGAAGCTTCGCACTTCCGATGGGTTCTCTGGTGCCTTTGTGTTCGCGATCGCCGATACCTTCTTGGGATCTGCTGACATTCCCTCCGATGAGAAGATGTAGCCGAAGAAGGTCAGTTTGTTCTGGTTGAACGCGCACTTCTCACGGTTGATGGTCAGCCCTTTTTCATGCGGCCTTTGGATGACCTTGGTCAGGGCTCTGTCGTGTTCGGCTTGGTTTAAACCGAAGACGATGATATCGTCAGAGAAGTTGCGGACTCCTCCAATGCCACTGAGCGTGTGGTGGATGACGCTCTGGAAGACTTCGCTGGCTGAGCACACACCAAAGCTGAGACGCTTGTAGCGGAACAAACCCTTGTGAGTTGAGAAGGTCGTGATCGGTCTGCTGCTCGGGTGGAGTGCCAGCTGATGATATCCTGAACGTAGGTCGATCTTGCTGAATACCTTTGCTTCGTTTAGGTCGTGGATGATGTCGTCTGCTGTTGGAGTGAGGTGTCTCTCTTTGGATAGCGGTATTCACACGGCGCATATCCACACACACGCGGATAGCTGTCGGGTCCTTGGGTTTGGGGACGCACACGACTGGGGATACCCACGGCGTCGGTCCGGTGACAGATTCGATGATGTCCTATTCCTGGAGCGAGTGGAGTTCCTTCTCCAGAGCTTTCCGTGTGTGAAACGGTATGCGCCCGTGCGGTTGAGCGATGGGTTTTACCGCTGGGTCAACATGGAGTTCCACTTGATGGTCTTTGAGTTTGCCGATTCCTTCGGTGATGGGATGGGTTTCAGTAGGTCTTTGATCAGCGTTCTGCCTGGAGGGTTGCTTGTCACCTCTTGAATGACTTCCAGCAGGTTGAGGTCCTTCGCCGTTTGGAAGCTGAGGAGCGATCCGTGTGCCCCTTCCACGACGAAGAAGCTGGTCGTGACGGTGCGGTTTCCGTGCGTTACTGGGGCCGTGATACCCCTGTTATCGGCAGAGGGTCGGTGGCTCCGTAGGCGAATAACCCTGTCTTGGTGGGAGCGAGCTGCGGTGGTGGGCGCAGTTGTTGGAACGTGATGCTGTCGATCAGGTTTTTGTTGGCCCCTGTGTCGATAATGACACCGACTGATATGCCTGCGACCTGCACGGTTGTGCGTGGCTGCGTTTGACGTGTAGCCAGAGCGTAAATGTACTAATCATCACTAGATGACTCCGTCTGTTCAGTGACCGGACGCACCGAAGACTTCTTCTTCATGGGATTGTGATTGTACTTCGGGGTTCGGTTGGTCTGTGGCATGTGCGATCTGGCGGCTCCTGAGCGGCACATGTGGCTTAAGTGGTTCACTGCCACATTGGTAACACGTCTTTCTGTGTGCTGGACACTTGGTGGGACCACCGTCGTGCGGGTAGGTTCCTCCGCACAGCCCACAGGATTCGTGATAGGATTAGTGATATTTGGTGCGATCAGGTAGTTGTCAAAACGGGATAACCATTTGGTACATCGCGGACCCACGGGTTGTTCGTTGGGGTCGAACGGCGGTGACGCGGGCGGCGACATGGCGGCCGCCAACTTGGCTCGCCTTGATATGCAGATAAGTTGCCGTATGGATCACGTACAGGGTGCTGGGGTATGGTAATCTCTCCGGCGAGTTCGAAAAAATACCTCGTCGCCGAATGTGGTGTTTATGGAGCTGGATCAGCTCGCGTATGGTCTGGTTCGGTGCGAACGATAAAACGCGCGGTAACGGTCGGTGGGGGAATGTTTATTTATTCAAGGTCAAACAGGGGTTCATTTTATATGGTAGCCCGGTAGGGTATGATAATACAGAGGAATGTGAGTTATTTTCATTTCGACGATACATAGGCACTGCAGGCTCGCTGGGCGGTACCTCGCTGGAGATTGTCGGTTACCCCTCTTGAGGATCGGGACTACCCCGCCAAGCTTCTACTCTACGGGGAGCCTTCCGGATGCTTAAGATTTTCGGAAAAGCATGCTGAGGGGTACTGCTAGGACATCTGCGGACTCGCGAAGAAACCCTGGATGCACATTGTCTGGCCCAGGGGCGCTCGAGGTCTTCAGAGCGGGCAATTTATTTGCCACTGCCTGAGTAGAGATGGCCACGTCATCCAGAAACGGTCCAGTTAAGTTGCACGGTGACACAGGCATGGCACTAGTCCCTTCGTCCGTGAAAACACTGGCGAAGAATTTACAGAGGACATTAGCCTTCCCTTCGTTACTGCTGGTCAACACTCCATCATCGCCAAGAAGGTCCTCTACCCTGCATCTTGTGCGTAGTCTTGAGTTGGCGTGCCTCCAAAAGGCCTTGAGGTCTCTTTTGAGGTCTGCTACTAATTTAATCTCATGTTCTTTCCGAAGGTTTCTGGTCAACTTCCGAAGGTCATTGCGACAACGCACGAACCTGGCATGGTCCAGAACATCCTGAGTCCGCGTGTACGTTCGCCATAGTCTTTCCCTAGTCTTCTTTGGCTGCATGTCAATGGACTGGTCCATCAGGGACCAGTCCATTGACGTGAGGGTGTCAGCCAGATGCTCGTAACATGTGTGTGTCAGCTGGCCGGGACGAGGAGTTTGTATCCCAGAGTAGCAGACCAAAGTGTACCTGATTACCACATGGTCCACTGTTACCTAGCCCAGGCAGGTATTTAATTTGGCTCACCATGCCCTCATTTGTGAAAATGAGGTACAGAACACTAGGAGCTTCGTCAACCCGGTAGCGCGTTGGTTGCTGGACATGCTGGAACAAGAACTGCCCTGAATGGTGTCTTTCAGTGAGTGGGTTGGGTGGCTCTCTGGAGCTGACGACCCCTCTGTTGCCCAGTCAATCTGAGGCAAGTTAAAGTCACCTGCAACCATCCAGTGAGAAGACTGGGCTCTGCATGCTCTCTGAAGAAAGTCTTCCAATTGGCCCATACTGTCTTGGATGTTGCCTGATGGACTTCTGGAATACTGTATATGCAGCCAAGTAACAGGGCATCCTACCCAGTCAAGGCAATTTTCAGCCACACTTGCTCCAGATGACTTGACCCATTCAGTGTTCATCTGCGTTTAGTAAGTTGGACACATGGACACATATGCCTGTCCTACCACTAGATCCGAGGTTGGGCTGAGATAGATTAAAGTTTGTGTGCAGGGTGTATCCGGAAATTGATGAAAGATGGCGCAATAGGAAGCTTCTGGGCTTTAGGAAGGGCCTCAGTCAACAGCACGATGTCCTGGGTTATGGTCATAAATAAGGATACATAAATCATCCCTTTTACTAAGGAACTGGTCCGCATTGGTGTACAATGTCTTCAGACCTTGCCTACCCCTGCACTGAGGAGCATTATGTAGTCATTGTGGACTGGGGGATCAGCATCAGCCTGAACCTGAGTACGCTGATCCATGGATCCATCCCGAGTCATGTCAAAATGGCATGCAGCCACACCAGAGCGTAATGCCATTCTGTCCAATGCCATCTTTCCCCACAATACGTAGCTGGTTATGTTACATCATATGCCTCTTCCCCACCATCTATTAAGTCATTTGTGTACGGCCCCGAACGGTGCACAGTGTGCGTCCTTTTCCATGTTAAACCTCGGACGCCAAGGTGCCTTAGAGGTCTTCACCAAAATCCACATCAGATGATGTCATATCGACTCATGTGATAACATTACAATCAAACCAGACACCGTAACGCAACCAACTCCGCGACGGGTCCAAAACTGGGAATCGATATGCTCCCGACTCTAGCCAACTAGCCCAGGCTACAACCGCCCCGGTCTCTGAAAAATGTAGCCAGTTCTTCTTGAACAGTCTCGGGCTGACATTCCAAGGTCAGCCCAGGACAATACATGTGGACAAAACCCTCGCGGATAGTGGATGAAGTAAAGCTAACCCGGAAAACGTTGCTCCAGTCTCGTGAAAGCCACCCTCAGCGCGTCTTACAGGCTCTATCGATCCCAACACAATACCGGGTAGGTCAGGGTGCTCGACAATTTGTGGCTCCTCGTGCCACAAGCAATGGACGTACCCACTTAGCCTCACGCACAATTCACCATCAAAATAGATCTCATGGGTGGTACAACCATGAACCTGCCCATCCTAACTAATCAGTTTTCACGAACATCGTTTGCAGGGTTCGCACGCACTGCTGGAAGCTACTGCCCGTGGGGCTCGCCCCGTGCGCGCAATCCCGCACAACGCCACGCAGGTCTCGGCCGAAGCCACTATCAGTAGACTTCTCTAATGTAAGACGTTGAATTTACCCAGATGACTGTTGTGCACGTTTGTCCCGCACGACCCGCTGGGTATCGAGCAACAGATCTCTGGGCGGCACTCCGAATAACAAGCGCCCCTTGGCCCCAGGTGATTCGGAGTAAAACAATAAACGCTCGTCATTACCTTCTTAAGGCGACCGGTCCAATGCACCACCCTGGACTTCACCTTGATTGGACGAGCTTGTCCCGTATCGCCGGCGGCGCAGCCCATGGCGAGCTATGACAAGCGGAGTTCATCGCGCTCGCATTTCAGCGAAAAGCTGGTCAGCTGATCACACAGCTGATACGTATGACACTCGTCCGAGGGCTCGGACCAACAAAACGACATCTTTGAGTTCCTCACCTAACTGGAGCCACGGCATCTCCTTGTCACCCTGATCCCTTCAGGACATTTCTTCTAGACACATGTTTCTCCTTTCCCTTGCCATTGCTCTGATATAGCTGAGTTACAACGCGTTTAAGCCGAAATATTCTATTCTTGCAGTGACTGCATACAAATTTTATGCACAAGTGGTCATGTGCACAGATCAACATATTTGACTAACAATGTAACTAAGGCACGTGACACTACCACTGCAGCATTTAGCCGTTTCCATAACACGCAGAAACTTCATTCGAACATAAATCAAAAAGTATCATGGCATTTGGACGTACAAAGCGCCTCATAGCGCTATATAAACATAACATGAGTGTCTTCCGACAGATTTATAGCAGCATAACCGTTCACGCCGAAGCTCTGAACTGGTGAATACGTGGACGCAATTCGAATTTTACGCATGTCAAAATTCACGACTAGAGCACGTGGTCGTCACCAAATTGAACACTTTGCAGCATACCGCACCCATGCCAATGGAGAACTGTCACTGGAATTCCCACGAAGATCCGATCCGTCATCCTCCTGGAGTGCAGTGCCTGCCCACAGCCGGCCCGTCCCGCACAACTTCTGCGGACAGGGCTGATCCGTCCGCGCGCCGCCCGCGCGCCGGCCGATCACTGGCGGATGCCCCAGGGCCTCAGGATGTGGCGCACACGTCCTCGGTGTACTGGACGAAGCCGTCGCCGGTGCCGTAGCTGACCGGCACGATGGCAGGTCGGCGCCGGCACATCGGGCACCGCTGGTTTCGCACCCGCGACGACCGCAGCCACAGGATCAGGTTATACCTGGGCGCAGACAGCGCCGCCGTCAAACGCCGTCGAGGAACGACGCTTGCCATCGGGTAGCCTGGGCAATCGAGGCACGGGGGCAGCTTTGCCTCAGGGGAACGCTGCCACCGAAACACGGCCACCGCACTGCGTCGAGCCACGATCTCCTCTGGAGACTGGCATCAACAGTGATGACTAGGTCAGCAAGGACGTGAAAACGAGCGGGTAATGGCTCCTCGAACCCGAGCAAAAATGGCTTCAGTCCTGCGTGACGGAGCTGATGACGGCGACTGAACGATCCAACATCAAGATTGCAAAGGCAACTGGGCGTTCAAACGTCCATCCGCAGCCCCGTGTCGTTGTCTTGGCGGCCGTCGGTCGCCGGCTGACCTTTCTCCGTCCTCGATGGGCATGGCGCCGTGCAGGTGCTGCCCCCTGTGCAGTGCGCCCACGCCCATCTGGTGCTGGTAAATGAGGCGGTCCTCGGTGGCCGGCTCCTCGGCCATGTGACTGAAGTACAGCTCACCGCTCTCGTAGCCATCGTTCAGCGAGACGTTCATCGATAGCTGCCGGGTGGAGTGCGATGTTCATTGATGTTCGGGGCTTGCAGTTGATTGAGCGCGGCCGCGTGCAGAAGTCTGCCTAAGAAGCTCATCGAAGCGAGCCGGCACACGCGCTGCCCGCTACACCAGCTGCGGTGTGCATGGCCAGTACATCGCCGAGGTGTTTGTAACTGATGTCCAAAGGGACATACTCAGCGTTAGCAGCAACTGCGATAGCGACTTCAATAACCACCGGCATTTAGCCTACAAAGCGCCACATCACATGCATGACACCTCCCATAGGACGCTATCGATCAAAACCTGGCGGGGCGAGACAAATGCCAATTAAAGTAACCCACTACCAACGTCGTCGCCGACTAGGATGGCGTGCACCGACGAGGCGCCAGTCCCAGCCTCGGCCCGCCGTCGCACCTCACCTCGGCGTTGTCGAAATGGCAACCCAGATCCTCGTCCTCGCCCTGCTTGTACTTCACCACGAACACCTTGTGCGAGTCGAGACTCTCGCCGCCCAGCTCCGGGTACAGCAGCGCCGTGATAGGCTGGATGTACTCCTCGCGCAGCACGTCGAAGAACTCCTGGTTCATGCCCAGCTCGTCCAGCAGGATCTGAGGACAGCCATCGCTGTAAGCCGCCGCAAGGACAATGGAACAGGCGACACATGCCGACGGAAACGTTTCGTGACCAGGTGAGTCCGATCACCGTGTACTATGTACCGTGTACGGAGTACCGTGCACCGAGTGCCGTGTGCCCTGTATCGAGTACCGCATACCGCGGACTACGTGCCGACTACCGTGTACCATGTACCTGGTATCTTGTACCGTGTACCGAGTACCGTACAGCTGTGTAGCCAGGGGGACGCAATGGCACAGACGAGACTGAAAAATCGTGAAGGTGGCAACAACAACCTTCGTTCTCCTTTCTAAAGAATGCACCAGAAAGCGCCAGAACTCTGACAGTTTCTAGAGAGCATGGTCTCAGTTGAACGTCATGCCAACCGCCCTAGGCAGTCTGCTCGATTACTGCATGGTTGGCGATGACAACAGTCAAGAGGTGATGCATTTGGCACCTGTTTCTATGTCAGGAAGCCGTCTCAAGAATGATGTCGGCGTAGCAAACAGCGTAGTTATACCAGCCCAACCGACCCATTGCAGCCGGCTACACAAGAAACTCAGCTGCCGCGCCGCAGCAGCCTGACAGAACCACGTGGTTAGTTCACTCATATTTCTATGACTTTTTTGGTTTTTGTTGATGATGATTTGGTTTTTTTAGTGAAAGGCGTCACGTGGGCAGTGACACCCTAGCGTACATCAATGAGGTCACGAGGGCAGTGATACCCCAGCTTGCATCAATATGCGTTTGTATTTTCAACAGGTTAAATACGCGGTGTGGATATTCTGACAGAATGAGCGAGGCTGATTTAAACGACTAACAAGTCTACACACATGCCCGAAACAGATGCGAACAAAAGTATGCATAGAACAATTACGATGAAAATTTTCGTGGGATAAAGTACATAGGATACAGTAAGTATGGCAAAAGTTCGTAATGGCACAAGTGCATATAGATAAAGATCGTATGGCTAATTCTTCGTCAGAGAAAAGTTCGTGGCGAAAATGTTCGTAACGCGCATTAATTCGTATGAAAAGTTCGTAATCAAATCTTTGAGCTCCACTGTTCAGATGTGAATGTTGTTCATGGGTAGCATTCATTTAACAAGAGCACGTAATAAAGGTTCGAATCCCGATATCAGATACGAGTACACAACTGCACAAAACCGTTCATCAGGGATGAGGTTCTGACAATAGTGTGTACGGAAACTTTGCATGAAAATGTGTATACTGCACATGGGAAAGCAGATCTTCATTCTTGGCGTCAGGCGCCAGATAAGTGGTAAATGCGGGGCCTATCACATCTCGCCCACTGAAGACGGGGGGGGGGGGGGGGGGCGGTAGACGGTGACAACTGCATAGGCTAGGTCAAGTATCATGACATATCTAATTATTCATAAGATAAGCTTTGACCGCCAAAGGCATCCAGCAAATTAACTTCAATCAATTGGGTTAGTGCAAGATAACCCTGGGATGGAGGGCACTGGAAGCTTACCACCGCAGGTCACCCGACACCATTACCATTAGGTTTATCCACGGTCATCACCATTACCATCACCATTACCACCGCAGGTCTCCAGCCGAGTTTGTTGTGCTCCCCTCAATCCCTCACCCTGATGCCTCTGTCGAAGACTTCGCCTCCCGCCGTTCGGCGCGCCGCTGACGCCAGCTCACGGACGCGACCAGTCAGCTCGCATATGAAATACGGCGGACTGACGCGCCAGTGCCACCCAGTACAGATTACTTATATAAAGTAAATCGGAGTCCAGAGAAAATGACGCACTAGCTAAATCCCGCTCTGACGCACCCCCCCCCCCCCCTTCATTGGGGTCACGTTTGCATCTGACCCAGTATTGCCTAAGGGCAACTTTCTCACGCTACACCGGATAGAGCTAGAAATTACTCACTCGAATTAATACCTTGATCACCACCGGAAGCCAAATTTCAGCGAAGCCTAAGGGCTGCCAATGCATAGTTTGGTACTCTGCTGGTCCCTATGTCCTGAAACACTCCCAATAGAAACACTCCCAATCCTGCGTCATAACAAACCCAATCGTTTCTATGCCTCCCCATAGGCCAAATACTCACCATTCCCGGAAACTGGGTTGCACCCACGGCCCCCTAATCCGAAGCTGATGTCGTCCACAAACCTTTGCATACGATTTGTGTTCAACCAACTTTATCCGCCTCGAACATACGCGTATGTTCATTGCGTACAAACGAGCGCGCACGTATTGTACGCATATGTACTTATTCCATACGAACTTTTATCCTGACGAACTTTTGTCAACACCAAGATTTTCCATACGTACTCTTTACCATTCCAACATTTCCGTACGAACTTTTGCGTAAGTACTTTTTCGTGCGCACTTCTGTCATACGAACTTTACACCTTACGTACATTTGCTTACGAACAATTGTGTACGGGCATTGTGCATACGCACTTTGTGCATGCATACTTTTGTACTAAAACCGCCACATGCCTGAAAAATGTGCGAGTCAGCACAAACCACTCACCCCGTGGTTATTCATGGTGTTAGGACGGCCCTTGGGCATGTCTGACTCCTCGAAGAGATGCAGCTCCTCCAGGAATTGGCGGCAGAACTCCTGCGTGAACACGGGAAAGGCGTAGATGCGGCCTGGCAGACTCTTCACACGCGTGGTCAGCTGTTCAGCCGTGACATCAGCCGTGCGCGCCAGCTGGACCAGCTCCAGCAGCTTTGGATGCAGGAAATATGGCTGCAGGGAGTGAGCGTCCATCAAGTGTCAGCACGACACGCAACACAGGTGAATGAGTCCACAAACCCTGAATATTTTCCTCCTCAGCCAAAGCAGTTCCCAATAATTCTTCCACTACGCCATCATTGATGGCAAACAACATATCTTCACCTAATTGCTGGTGAGTACAGGACAATGCCTCTCACAGCAAGACATTGGACATTATTCATTCCACTTTCCAGTATACCAAATCCACCAGGAAACAGTGATTCAAAGATTAAAATAAAGGCAATGCATACCTGTAATTTATACACCAGTGGGTTTCTGGGGACATATTGCTGGAGAATGTACTTGTGTCTGGCTGCTGCATCTCCTTGAAGCTGCTTTCTCCTATTTACCTCTTCTTCAATCTTGGAAAGAATCATAGTTTCAGTTTAAATGAGTGTATGTAGGATGGTTCTTGTTATGAATGAACTTTTTCACAGGGCTTGATCTAATTAAAAAAACATACACAGACTCCAAATAAAGCCTATGCTGAAAAACATTATCAATGTTTCATAATTATGTTTTGTTAGGCACTTGTTCAACAAGCTGCATACATTAGTACTAACCATTGCCTATGTGCAAAGCCATCAAGAAGGTACCCTGCACCCTATTTGTGATTACTTCCTGCCAGCAATAAGTAACAGATAATATTGATTTTATACTAGGACATTGGCTATCAATTTTGCACAAAGCAATTATGAATATAATGTCTAAGCCTTTATTTATGGCACAAACCTGTGTATATCACAACATTATTCATAACTCATATCACATCATCTTTCTTGACCATGCCTTGGATAATGTGATCAAGGTCTGCAACTGACATATCACTCAAAAGCACATCTTATCAAACATCTTGAATGGCCTCATATTGTGTGGTCTTTGAGTCAATCTCAACATGTAGCATGTACAAGTGATGTATTTATTGCTACATGCATTCATTGATGGCAAGTGAAGGCTAAGCCATCTAAAAGGTAATCAAAATACTCTAAAAGCAATTGAATGCTGCCATCACAACTTGATGGATAACTATAGAATTGATCATTGTTTTGCAAACCACCATGATGTATACAATGTATCAGCCTGTAGTTATGCTGTGCATCTGATGTTACTAACAACCTATTTCACACCATGTTCCTTCTAGCATATTGTTTAAGCATGTCATTTCAGCCAAAACAAAATTGCAAAATACATGTCAGTTAAATGTGTGAACAACTGACAGAGCATACAGCAGGCCACATAGTGGTTAACCCTGACCCAGCTGACCCCGGTAAAGTTAAAAGTTGTGAGTCTGTATTCTCCAATGGTTTGAGCAGCTAACAGTAGTATTTTAAATACCTTATTATAATGAACACCCATAACTTGAAAACAACCAAGGCAAATCATGTTTCTATTGTACTGGTAACTCACCTGAACTGGCATGTGTTTTGGACAATTGCATCCAAGTTTCTTTAACACAGGGGAGTATTCCTTCAAAAACTGCGCCTTGTTTAGGTATGTCACATGAAGGTTGAATTCCTTCAAATATATATTTTCCGTGTAAAAGCATTTGCAAATGCCAAAAACCGTACGCATTTTACGCAACCTATCGCCCGCAGGAGATGCAATAGATGCACACCATGCCCCAAAACCAAAGATGTACTATCAGTGAAACGATGGGCCCATCGAGATGGCGCTACGAGTTAAATCGAAATAAGCACAACCCGCAACAATCCAATCCACACCTTCAATACTCTTAAGCAAAGGCAACGCAATGCGCATTACGTGAACCAATTACACACATAGTCGAGGCAGTCGCGCAGAAGCTTTAGGGCGTTCGCACATTGTCTTGCATGAGGTATATATGTCTACCAAAAATGGTAAGGACTAAAGGGCGGACGAAACTGATCACGAATCTCATGTTTCGAGACTATTTGTTCGATTGGTACAAAACCTTCACAATGGAGGTGCCAAATAGTAAAAATGTATGCCGTCCCGGATAACATGACCTTTGCGTCTAGGAAAACTCGCCCAATAACACCCAAAACCAAAACACAGGCTGCAAACACCGTCACCTTGCTTCGATTCCGAGTTATGGGGCACTGCCATTGGCGGCGTAACCGGGGAGGCAGCGGGATAAGCTGTTCCCCTCCCATCTTTTGAGGCGGGATAAAAGTACCCTGCATGCCCCCCCCCCCCCATAATTTCAGGTGTCCCAGAAGGGACTCCCGGGTATGTGGTAGTATCAACCATATTACTCCGCTAATAATGCAGCAGACCAAAATCTGAAAGGCAGTGCGTATACACCCTCCAAAAAGGAGCGCGGTTACGCACCGCGCTCATGCACCCTCCAAAACGGGGGGCGGTTACGCACCGGGCTTATACACCCTCCAAAAATCTTTCATATGGTTGTACGTGTCAAGGATACGCGTATTGGCAGCCTTGGAGGCAAGGAAGTGCAAAAATGCAGAATCCCGTGCGAGAAGTCGGTTCTTTGCGTGATAAACATCCAACGATCACCGTGGTATTGTAGCGCAGCGAAATACGGCAATGTTTCAACATGTTCCGCCGCGCCGTTTGGAAATATAACCAACTCACGAGTTGATTGCGACGCGCCAAGCCACGTGTGTGGGATTGTGCCTGAAAAACTTCCCAGCCAATAAACTCCCATCGTTCTGCGCTGAGTGTGTATGCAACAATCGCGAAATCCATCAACTCACTCTGAACCATTTCTATTTTTCTGAACCATTTCTATACACAAATTTTCGGCCCCTGGGCCCGCGTCTCCAGTGGATGGATGGTTGGAGTGCTGGTCTCTCACGCGGTAAGCCCGGGTTCGAATCTCGACGACGACCGCTGTTAATTGGGCGGCTTCATGGCCTATCGGCGAGATGTGGTGATGCCAACTCGCTTCACTTCTAAGCGGAATGGATTCGCTCCCGTCGACAAGCATAGGGTCCTCAGAGCAAGGCAAAGACTGAACTCAAGACCAACGTGGTGGGCACCTGCACGATCGGTAGTACCTCGACAGGCTGACATATGAAGCCCGGATCATAGCACAGGACCCCCCGAGGAAAGGGAAATTATTCAGGACTATAAATTAATACCCCTGTGCAATCAAGAGTGCACCGGCAGGTTAACGACACGAGTTTCGATAGGAGCGAAAAGTCAGCCGCAAATGAGGCCACAGGAAAAGAGCCCTCGAACAAAGTAGAGGGCCCCTGAGCACCGAGCGTCTCCGTGCCTTACCTTATAAGAGCCCTAGCAACGGCACAAGGCCTTTCAAGCAAGTAGCCAAGTATTTTCGGAAAATACCTGAGATTTATATGGACCCCTGAGCAACTGAATGCATTCTGGAATGTGCGGCCCGGGAAGAAGTGTGTGTGGCCTTTCGGGTGAATGGGTAAAATCCATGGAGGAAAACCCGATTGATCAACAGTGCTCAAGCATGGAGGCAGGAAGCGTCCCAACAGCACATTGGGCTCTACGAAAAAGTGAGAAGAGATCAAGGGTAACGTGGAAAGCTCCTTAGCGATCAGATTGACGCAGCAAGTGGGCATATAGAGACAGGTAGCCAACAGCGTAATGCCTCTAGACAGCGTAATGAGCCCTAAAATTGCCCCAAGCAACACTCTCAATCAGCGAAGAATGAACTTCGTTTACTTATGAACTTTTTACTTTTGCTAGCAATTTTGTTGTGCGTTTGTTGTAAGGAAACTGCGTCCGTCCAGCCGGTTATGGGCCCCTCCGGAGCCTTTAGGTTCCCTTGGCGTGGTCCATGGGACATGGTCCTGTGCCTCCCCCTCCCGCCCCCCTTGGGGCCCGACAGGAGCCTAAGGCCCTCCATTCAAATAAGAAATACCTAAAACCCCATGCGGATGGCCCCGAAAGATGAAGTGTACCTGAGCAGATTATCATATGACCCCGATACGGGCAGAGGGCCCTAAATTCAAACACTGAGAACCGATGTGCAGGGCCCACCAGCAATCCAGTGTGGGGGAGGAGGCGGACAGAGGGGGCCCCCGACAATTGTGTAGGGCCCCATTCAAATAGCATGTGCCTAAGGCCCAATATAGAGGGGCCCAAACGATCGAGTGCGCCCGAGCAGGTTATCGGATAGCCCTTCCCCTCCCCCCCCCCCCCAAAGAAGCGTAGGCCCCCTATTCAGAAAAGAAGTACCAAAAACCTAGTGTAGACGGTCCCCAAACGACTGAGTGTGCCCAAGCAGGCCATTAGATGGGCCCCCGATAAGAGTGCAGGGCCCTAAGCAAGTGACAGAGAATTGGAAACGCCCTAGACCAATGTAGAGGACCCATGGGCATATCGCAAGTGTGTCTGTAGGTTAACCGATACCCACGTAAAGGGCCCCTGGGCAACCGAGAATACCCCTGCAGGTTAATGTATGGGACTCTGGCTACCGCTCACAGAGCCTTTCTGGCGAACGGAAATAATTCGTGGAAGGGCTCGTGACTGACAAGAGTTCCCCGGCACGCTAACAAGAAGGGCTCCAACAACAGCGCAGGGCCCTCGGAGCAAATGCAAAGAAATGAAAGACAACGTGGAATACTCCTAAACAACCGAAATTAACCTCCAAGTGACATATAGGTCCCCGGAAACAGCATGGGGCCCTAGACGGTGTAATGGGGCTTACAATTTCCAGTCCACAGCTTTTCCAATAACTGAGTAATTTTTCTGGGACTGGGACTTCTCATAGGGCCTTCTCTTTCGCTTACAACTGTTTTTGGTCGCAAGTCCAGAGATACCCAGTTTTATTGCGTTTTGTGTTAAAAAAACTGCACCTGTTCGGCCGGCTGTCGGACCCCGGAGCCAATGGGCCCTTTCGTGGCCCGGGGGGGGGGAGGGGCATGCCCCGTGGCCCCCCTCTCTGGACCCGCCCCTGCTTGTTACTGTGTGTTTTGGGGATACTTTTGTTATTTTCCACTTTTTTGCCCCTCCCCCGAACTCAGTTTGCCCTTGATGTCGGACTGTCTTGGAGTCACAACCTTCAGACTCTGCTCCAGATCAAGGCGTGGCTGGAGATGTCTTCTCCTCAGGACCTTCTAGTCAGAGCGCAGCTGGAGATACCCGCCCCGTCTCCTCCGCAGGCAGCTCCAGGCAGGGTGTGGCTACAGAGGCGCGCTCTGTTTTCTCCTCAGGAAATTCCAGCCAGGGTAAGGCCGAGGAGTGCCGCCAGGTCCCTTTCGCTGGCATTTCCGAACAGGTCTCTTTTGGTGCTCGTTCTGTCTATGTCACAGATCGAGTCGAGGCATGCGGAGGCGACTGGGGCATGTCGCCGAACTGGAACATCTGAAGGAACCTGCCAACATCACTGAGAACAAGGGTCGACCGCGCGGAAAAACGGCAACCAACGTCATCGGACTGCCAAAACTGAAACGGAGAACTCTGAAGAGCTTCGCAGATCTGCTTTTCCACGAAAAGCAGAATGGTAAGTTACGCAGTTTCGCTGTTGATGGCTCATCATACTTGCGATAGCTGCCATGCGACGACTTACAATTGGGATATTACATGTCAAGTGATGGTTTACACCTCTCTTTCGCTCCCTCGCTCTCTTGCACTCGCGGTCCCGCCCTCGCTCTATCGCTCTATCGCTCTCTATCGCTTTATCGCTCTCTATCTCTTTCTATCGCTCTATTGCTCTCTCGCCTTCTCTCTCTCTCTCTCTCTCTCTCTCTCTCTCTCTCTCTCTCCTCTCTCTCTCTCTCTCTCTACTCTCTCTCCTCTCTCCCTCTCTCTCTCTCTCTCTCTCTCTCTCTATCTCTCTCTCTCCTCTCTCTCTCTCTCTCTCTCTCTCTCCTCTCTCTCTCTCTCTCTCTTCTCTCTCTCTCTTCTCTTCGCCCTCTCTCTCCCTCCCTTCCTCCCCTCTCTTTCTCTCTCTGCTTGTCAACAGTGAGTGTGTTACCAAAAGTGCAGGCCAATCTGTGGCTTCGAGTTGACCGGCACTCGCCTGCGCCTGCGCCTTCTACAGCGTATAAGGATTTGTTCTCCGGGACCTACAGCGACAGAAACGTGCGACGAAGCACCTGGTGAAGGCGTTTGCAAATTGTCATGTCATCCCGACACCGTCCGGCACGAAGGCCCATTAATTCGACGGGAAACGACCCATGTCCACGATTCCTATGTATGCAATACGGTTTGGCTTTAAACGAGAAAGATTGAGCCGTGAAGAGCATAGAGGTCGCAGCGTATTGCACTGTAGCCGGCATTGAGATGAAACACAGTCGCACTTTTCGTGGTACTTTGGGCACCATGTACTTAAAGTATGCACAGGTCTGAGGTCTTACATGTCGTCGATGATAAGTCTCGGGCGCCATGCCCAAGGGCAGCCCATTTTGAGGTGAAGCTATTGAAACAGAAGCCCGCGCATGCTACATGTCAGTGCACCGCTGCCTGCAAAGAATCAGAAACTAATGCTGCAACGCAGTGCGGGAATCTAGCTGCACAATTTTACATGGGTTACTGGCTTCGTATGTTTTAGTCTTGGGTCATCTCTTCCACCATAACGTTCACTTCCGCTATAATCTCGCGCGTTCCATAGTGCAAAATACATCTTACTGGCCCTTGTTGCAGCCATGCTACGCTGGATTCTCAAGAAGCCATCGAAGGAAGGCCTGTCCGGTGAAGAGGGACGTACGGGCCTGGGATGTCATCCACCTCTGCAGGCTGAAAGCGAATCCAGATGTACTGCTATCTCTGGGACATCGATTCACCCGATGTGCGTGGAGGATGCTCCTGGCTGGGGTGGACCAGTTCGATGAAGAACGTGATTGGTTGTGTGGTTGTGGGGAGGACCACCTGGTTGGTAGCTCCGTGCAATGTGGTGTGTGTGAAATGTGGTTCAGCACGCGCTGTTCTGTTGGCTATGTTAGGGGCATGGGTGCATGTATATGTTCACTGTGCAAGTAGCGGTAGTTTCCCCCAGAGCATAGGCTGCCTTGAATGGCAAGTGAAAAGTTCAGCCGT